AACCACTGACAATATAAAGTTTCGCTGGAGCGATGCCAAGCAAAAAACAAGTTAAAACTAAGCCTACATTCAGCCCATTGCCCAATGATGCCAAAGCGCGACAGAACGAGAGAAAATTTCGCCAGGGCTACGTATCGCGTGATGAGAAGATGCGATCAATTAAGCCGCCGCTACGGGGCCGACTTTTATGTCTTAGTGCGCCAACAACATCGGCACTATGACTACTGCTCAACGAACGACAATTGCTTTCCAACTCGTATTGACATGGTAAGTTCTGTCAATGGGAATTCCGTGTAAGAAAATATTAAACCGAATGTGTAGGATAAGACATATCCTCTGCCAATTAGGCGAACACCAAAAGATTTCAAGGAAGATGGAACGTCACCAATGCAAGCCAATGTGACTGGTTAGTGTTGCTTGCTTGCCCTCTAGTGTGTGTGCAGCTGAGGTAGGACTTGCTGAAAGGAGTGGAGATCCCGCTACGCGCGCGGCTGGTGGGCGGCCCCGGGTCAGCAATAGCGGCTCTCATGTGAATTTAGTATCAATAAATATTTGCAAGCGTCATTTTACCTGAGACCGGCCAAGATAGCTACATTAAGATACATGACGAGCAGACAAGTACAGGTATGAATTCGATTTTTCTCCATCACCCTATAAACTGTTCATTTATGCAGCAGGATATTTTCAACTTGCAGCTCAGTCCAGTATGAAAGACAGCTTCATCTGCTCCTCGCTCATGCTGTCGGAACTTTGCTGGTGCACTGGGCAGCTTGGTATGGTGGGCAAACCTGATTGCTGCGCCATAGAATTCACGCTGCACGTCGTATCAATGCTAGACAAAAAGCTTCCGGGCGACGCTCGTGACGATGTTATTTCGATGACTTGATGTTGAATGACATCAGTTTTGCATGGTAATGCTTTGCTTTGGTAAGCTTCGAAGTCGGGAGACTCAAATGAGCAGGAGAGCGGTGGAGATGGGCCAGACCAAGACGTTGGCGGGTGATGTTGCGTCTTGTGAGATGGCGCCGTGTTCAGTAGTGGCAATGCCTGTAGCATGCCTTCTCTTGTGCCGGTTCGGCAGCAATACTCCTCCCTAACGAGATTCTTCTTTCGGTGGCGGGCGAGTTGTATACGGAGCCTATGCCTTGCATACCACCAATTTTTGACAGAGTTATCGCTGCGACCATGTAGCCTGCGTGCAATCTTGGTCCATCGTTTGCCGATCTCCGAAACGAGATGCTCGATTTGAGCCCCTTCCTCAGGTGTAATAGGCTTGTGGTTCAAGGACGGCTCCAAGTTCTGGCGGTAGCGCTCGCGGCATTGCTTTGCTGTTCTTGAACCTAATTTCTGAGCAATTTCGACCCAGTCGTGGGGCTTTTGGGATTGAACGAGGTCTAGGAGGCACGCATCCTCAGAATTGGACCACGGCTTGCGTTGGTAGGTCATTGTAGATTCGGCGGCGGTAGGAATGATGGATGTTGGTTAGCAAGAGGTGGGAAAAGCCGCGACTTCATTTTGGCGAGAAAGAAGGTATCACATCAAAAATTCAGTAAGGAGATGCAAAAAAAAGACCTGAAATGTTCTATGAGGAGTGGGACTGTAAGTGTTGGTAGAACACAGTGATCGAGATGTCGAGCTGAAAGCGTGTCCCACCTTGTTCCACCACGGAACTCCTAGAACAACCATTGACTGTCAGACATCGTCTAAACCGTTGTCTCGGCTGCCGCTGTTCCCGGCAAGTCAATCAGGCGCTGTTGCCGTCCATCAATCTAGCCAAGAATATTCGAAAAGGCTGTCAAATCCCACCGTCGGCAGGGGAGATCTGCTCGCGCTTCGGAGAGAGAATCAGGGATAAGCGGTGTCCCTGTAGAAAAGGGCAGATGAGTATATCGCATTCCTCGAAACAACGGAGGGCCTAGATTCAGCAGCGGCTGCAGTTGATGACCATGTTTTCGCCATGCTGCAGAGCAGCAGGGGCGCCGGGCGGCATCGCCTCCACTGCGGAGCGGTACTAGGACGATTGAAACACCCTTACCAGGGCCGGGGTTGGGGGGTGAAACCAGCGCGTTTGCACTTTGGGGTTCTGAATACAGGTCAATGTATGCTTCGGGGGCCAAAGTGTCCTCGTGATTAAGCCAAAACATCCCTCAGCATTCATTCTCAGGAGCTGCTTAGGGTTGAACAGGGTTGTCAATTAAAAGAGTCGGCTGGCGGCATTGCTACTCTCGCAGACCCAAGTATACTTTGAGCTGCTGGCGTTTTTTCGCGTACGGGACGTTTGTGTTCAGTTGCAAGCGTTCAAGAATGTCATCGATGTTTCCTATAGACGCCGACAATCAGGAAACTTGATCGTAGTCGCGACTGATACTTCGCTCTGTCATCTGTGATCTGTGAGGTCAGTGGCCCCCGATATTATGCATTTTAGCAGGCAATGATCTGGTCACTCATCCGCGCGATCACTAGAACCGTTTGAGGCCACAGGGTTCGCGCGCTACGATGCTGCAGTGCTTGGTGAGGTGTGGCGCACAGAGGCTTCGCCCCTCAAGCCCTCCCCTGCCACAAAAAAACCCCAGACGGGACGCACATCCGATTCTCCCCCTTGTTGCGATGTGGCATCTATATCATGGCATCCACTCCACAGGTGTAGTGACAACTGACGAACTTGATGAGCGATGCGGCCAGTCCCAATCAGTTTCGCGCAGATCTGACGGGACCGAGAGTGCCAGAATCTGCGCACGCACTGTAGGATGCACCACTCCATGTGCATCTTGTTCCTTTTTGCCTAGGGACCCACTTCAAGGTTACGGTGACGTTGTTAACTGCAGTAGAGCTAGATGAATTTGAACCAATTTACGATAATTCTAGCCTGCGATATCATGGTCAAAAATTTGATCGGAGTCAATGGTCCGAGGGCTTCGACAGTGCGGAAGAAGCTGAGCGATTATCACACGAACTTGGAAGCTCAAAACGGATGTATGATGTGGTCTGGCTCTGAGTATTTTGTTGCTCACAGAATTATGTGGACAACTCACGAAACGGTGCGACATGCATCACTAGTTGTAGACCCTCGCGCGCTCAAACTCTGGGCCTTCTACCCCGCTGATCCAACAACTGATCCTTTGCAGCATTGTTCGGGCCGCGAACATCAAATTGGCGGTGAAAGAGAGTGCTAGACAACAATTAATCACTGAAAAGGATGTAATCCTGCCTCTGTATGTTTAAAAGGCCTGACAGCCACCCAGTCACGCTCCAAGAACCCAGGTCCATACAAGGGAACGGATTGTCTAGCACACGTTGGCGCTCAGGAAGAAGAGTACAAGAGCGCTGGATGTGCCTAGGAGCTATCATTTTTATGGCGCAGTTGCGACAGAATGAAAACGTGGCTGGCAATCAGGCACTGGCAGCTGCCCATCTATTCCTCTTTCCCTCGCCTCGTTCTGCCCTCTTCCCTCTCTCCTAGCTCCAACTTTCAAGCGATCTTTTTCCACATCGACGGCGCACACTATGGCTCAAACAGCGGGGCTCAGGAAGCGTAACAAGCTGGGGTACCACAGAACATCAATCGCATGCAGTAAGGTTGACATTTTATTTCATGGACGCTGCTCATAGTTTGTTGGTCACATGGTGTTCCAGGCCCGCTGGAACTTTGCTCGAGTCACAACTAACCAGAGGGTGCCCACAACAGGTCATTGCCGGCACCGGAAAATTCGATGTATCGTATCTCCGGAGCTACAAAATCGATGTATAAATTGTATACGACTCAAGAAGGACTGCAGCTTTCGCCCGGTCAACCAACAACCGCCGGCGGACTCGCAAGGCAAAACTACTGGCCAAGGAACTGGCAGCTCAACAGCGTATTCGCACTCCTCCTCACCAGCCTTTGCGCCTGGGAACCCAACTGGCATGGCGGCAAGATCTCCTCACGGGACGGGGCCGGTACAAGACTCCGTTGCGCTTTCTTGCCCCGTTATTACATCCTCTAATATTGGCTACGTTAGCGTTACAGGTGAAGGTTTGTTCGACGCGAGGGTCCTTGAGACATATATACTGACCATATCTTCTAACAGGGACGGACATGCCAACCACGACCGAACAGAACTTTAATGTCTCTCTTGGATCGAGTCTCACCTGGGGCGTTGCTGAGCCAAGCCCAGTAACTCTGCTTGGATCCATGGACATAGCCTATAGCTGGCACCCATCCGACAGCAAATCCAGCTCTACCGGACAAACATCACCCACTTCACCTGAGCTAGCTACTCAGTTGGCTTGGATGGCAACAACATCCGAAGCGGCGCAGCTGAACTATTGGAATTGTAACAGCGGGGTACCTCGAACAATTCAAGCGAGATCTGTGTCCTTTAGCAACAACCTTATCGATCAGCGACAACAGCAATTCGTGTCTGCCCCGAGCAATGGACTGTATGATGGGCGGGCGGCGAACATGGAAAACACGTTTACGTCCCCGATGAATCTGGCCTCGGTACGAGGGCATCCGCCTGGTCAAACAAGCGAGCTGAATTCGATTTTCCTTCATCACCCTATCAACTGTACATTTATGCAGCAAGGATATTCTTCAACTTGAAGCTCACACGGGTTCTGAGCTCCCGCCTTCCCAATATGTGAGTCGCTCCAGCATCGGTGCTCCCAGCGTCTCGGTGACTTCTAGCTTGGAACACTTCAAAAACCATGTCCAGACAGTGGATGGGGTGAAACCACTCGCGCAAAAGCTGTATCAGCTTATCGCAGATGAATGGCTACGGTTTTGTGTATTCAGGATGTGCAAATGGCATGTTCCTTGTTGACGTGTCACCTACAGTACAGGCATGGATAGTTCTGGCATGTGAATCAAATTTAAGACTACTCAAGTGTATGTGTTGGTTGACTGGCCACCAACATATATAATAGACCAGCTCACGGATAACAGGCCGCGCCATATCCCAGTGTTCACGATGACTGGCATGAAACAACACCGTAAGAACGATTGCAGCCGCCGCCCGCACTTAAGATTCCGATGGTGGGCGCATTTGCTCGGTGGATGTAGACGCCAACTTGTAGCCATCCCCGAAACGTCTTTTGAAAGAGAGGGAATCACTCAAAAGCGCGTCAGACGCTGGTCCTGTTTCTTGAGATGGCAGCCGGCTCAAGTCCCGTGATATCTGCCTCACAGTTTCGGCGTCGATATGGCCGCCGACCTGTCTAGTTCTCCATCCGAGGCCGCGGTTCGTGCCATGGAGAATTTGGCCATCAGTCGAAACCATGAATTGCACAGCATCTCCTGTCGCATGGTTCTCGATTACGCTCACGCTCTTCTCCAGTTCCCGGCTCGCTGAGGATACAAGGTTCATCGACTGGCGTGCCGACTCCAACTCATCACGAAGCCTCGCTATATCAGCAGCGGCTTCTTGAGAGCCGCTTGTGCCAGTGATTTTGCACACAAGTTTGTTAAAGAGCTCTTTCTCGTGGGTCGCGAGCTTGTCAGCCATACGAGCCAAATTCTCCTTGCATTCCTGCAAACCGTCATGAGTAATTCTTTCGGATAAAGAGCTCGGCTTAGACGCCCCAGTACTAAACCTTGCACGCGCTTGGGCAAGCTGGATTTGAGTAATATGGTCGGAGAGCTCCGCACAAATCTGCAGGCTGTTTTCTGTGCTCTGGCGCTCCTCCCTGATTTGTACCACATCGCCATCTTCGAGACCAGAAGAACTGCTCAAACTTTGGCCCATGATTGTTCAAGCTTGTCATCAATCATTTCGAGGCGATCCTCAAGATCAGCTCTGGCAGCTCTAAGAAGCTCAGTATAGCCTTCTACGGCTTCAGATGTCACGATGGATTGGTGACTTCACGCAGAGGAGCGGCAAGAGGCGAGCACATAGCATTAGCCAAGTAAAAAGGGCAGGTAAACGGTGTAATATTACATACAGACTCGCATTGGTGAGGGCAATACTGATAGTCATTTTGTAACCGGACAGCAGGCGCCTGAAGCCATCGACGTCTTCGCCCATGTACCTCAACCGTGCCCAATCACGAAAGCTTGTTCTGCTGCCAGCAATAGATCTGGAGGAAAACTTTTCAATCTCTTGTTTGAATTCTTCGCAAGCTTTGGCGCAACGTTTCAAGGGAATTGCTAGTGCTGGGATTCGCAAGTCTGGGTTGCCACGAGCAGCATCAACAAGCGACTTTAGCACCTCGGCGAGTGCGCCAGTCTCCTCGGCAAGATCGCGTACACGCTGTTGATGAGATTGGAAGCTAGAAACCGACTCGTATAGCATGACACTGGATTGGCACGCAAAGGTTGCCAAAGCGACTAACCCCGACGCCACACCGATCGCTTCTGCCATATTGAGATAGCCGGCCGAAGCAAGAAATATCGTGTAACTCGAGTTCTGACGGCCCAGACTGGCCAAAATTCTTTGACACTGACTCTGTAGAGTATTGTGAAGTGTTGGCACGACGGGCAGAGAGAGGGACAACTGAAGAATCAACTCTCTGTTGACGAGGTGGCTTTTCAGGCGACTTGTCGGCGGCGACGGCACGCGTTGTAACCCTGCTTCTTAACACGTGACCGCTCAAATATTGAGGAATCGAAGGAGCAGCCATGTAGGTGACAATAGGAAGAGTGGAGCTGGCCTCCGCAAGTGGCCAATTACAATGCCCATTTTCTCGCTGGCTACTTCCCCGCACCAGCATGAAATTGCTATCACCATACTTCTCACTTCGTTCTGTACTCAAAGACTATGTTGTATTCTGTTCCCCGGCAGGATGGACCCGCTGAGTATTATCGCCTCGGTATTGGCCATCGTCACGGCTGGCCTTCAGTCCACGAGATCTTTAAAAGCAGCTATCCAACGATACAAAACGCGCGACATGACGTTGTTGAGACTTCTCGCTGAGGTGAAAGACATTGAAAGTATCCTACAAAGTCTCGCGCAACTACTTGATGCTACGAACCAGCAACCTGCGGTAGCTGCTGAGACGTCAATGACTAAGCTTCTCTGTGGGCCAATCGAACGATGTACCCAACTCTGCAGCGACTTTGAGTCCACCATGAGGCGTTTCAGCGGCAAATCAACGTCTAGTTTTATAGACTGGGCAAGAATGGAGTTCATGAGAGGTGATATCAACCAATTTATGGACACATTGGCAGGATACAAAGCCACCATCTCAGTTGGCCTCGGTGTGCTTACTATGTGAGATTTTCTACAGTTCTCATGCTATCCATTTTAGGGGCTCCATCAGCCTGGAAGCTTATCATCATTTCTAACTGTTGATGCACAGGCGCACTGTCAAGTTTTCCAGTACCGCTTTGGAAGAGCTTGAAGAAATGGTGAAAGATACCATGTACCAACTCAACCTTCAACTTCAACGTATCAACGACAAGATGGAGAACTGGCCACGTACAGGAGGCGTCGACAGCAGCGCGACGAAACCGGCCATAGATCTGGACGACGAGCGACAAGTAACAAAACAGTGTTTGCAGATATGCGAGGATGCGAAATTGTATTTGGAGTCCTTGGCGTGTCGCGACTCACCTCTCCTAGATCAGCCCACTCTGGGAAGCTCTGCAATTCTCCAGCAAAGGTTTGAAGCTCAACTTTTGACTCGCCAGGCCCTCAAAGACAATCAGGCAAGCTTGGTAAATATCATTACTCGTCTTCGCGAGCGACTCGAGACTGTTCTTACGGACGGAGATACAGGTGAAAGGCTACGGTTGAACGAAGACATACATGCATCAAGGCAATGCCTAGAAGTGTGTAAGCTGGCGTCTAGTGAGGTTACCAATCAAAAGATACACATCATTGGGGAAGTGGTTGCCGACGGGGATAGTGACCATGTCGTGGTGACAACGCTGGCAGACCTTTTCAATGTTGGAAAAACCATGTCTAAAAATCGATCAGCACTGCTCGTTGGGTCGATGAGCGATGATGCTCTTGTGCAACTATCCCACGACCGTTACAATAGCCGTTTTGGAGCTCAGGCGTCGAGCAGCCAGACTATCCGCAGCCACCCTGCCGTTGTGAACCCCGGGAACCCTGGGACGTCGAGTGTTGGTTCGTTGGCGGGGCGCCATGCTCGCAGGAAAAGCCAGCACTCGCAACAAAATCCTCCTTCATCAAACGAGACAAGGCGAAGAAAGGTAGATGGAGAGTCAACTCATGAGTCTAAATGAGGAGCAGTTCGAAATTAGAGTTTTACCTGTGTCGTGTGGTGGTGTGGTGGAATTCCGTCCCACGCGGCTTCGCATGTCTTCAACCTGGGAGCATACCATATATTGCATCGAAGTACTTGCATACCTTTGTCTAATTGGTATACCTGTTCAACTTTTGTGTACATTGAACTTTCCTGATAAAGACAGACACCAAATGTATAGTGAAAAGCATCTCTTGGATGTCACCAACTGAATAGAGCGCCCTCACTCAGATTTGACCGAATTTCTCCGCGCGAAATGTGCCACGTACATCATTGCGGCTTTTTTAGCAGGCGCCACAAAGAACTGCCGAATGGGCTGTGGCACTTGTAGTTTGTCCTCCGCTCAGGAACTGGCTCTACGCCCAACGCAAGTTTGCCCCTACATGGTTGTGGTCTGTCTGGCGAGTGCCACGAAGAGCCAGCCCACTGTTCGGCAATTTCCGAAGGTCGGTGGTGGCAGTTATTGTGTAGAATGGGGCTGCGCCCATCGCGATGAAGTTATAAGAAGAGCAGGTTTGCCGCGCCTTTATATACCAAGCGTATGTACCATTGAACCCCAACACTAAACAGGACCGGAATCATGAGCACAATTGAAAATTACTCGAAAGGCGATGCCATTCAAATCATGGTCTCAACAGATGGAAAGGTTATTAACGGCAAAAACCAAGGACTTGGGTGGAGGACGAGGCAGCTGGGGGGCTACCTAAGTGATAACTCGCTCCAGCAGTTCGTGCAGAATTTGTTCAAGGCTGACACACATATTGGCCAGCCAAATCCACAACAACAAACAGCTGGGATTGGACAACAATGCCATTCCATGGAACAATACCAATGGACAGAACTCACGCCGGCGTCAACTCCCTGCTCTAAATCACCTGCAACATCATAAGACATATGGGCAGCAGATGGCGGGAACCAATTGCAAATCAAAGACTAATTCTGAGGATGGTTCTGATTCGATTCAATGACGTGATGATTCCCGACTGTGCGCTTTCTATGGATGATTGGCACATTGGATAAGAAGCGTCACACCCGACGACGACAACGACGACGACAAGGGAGACTTTTTCCGGCAATAGACCTAAAATCAAGCCTTCACGCATGCATAGCCGCCAAGCATACGCTAAAAGAATTCGGCAAGCCATAGCTAACCAGGCAGCATGCCAGTCGATGGTCATTTCTTTTAGCTGTCAAGCATCCGCAGATGTTTATGTGCGAGGCGAGAAAACACGATGCTGCACGGACAAGCTACTGGTGTGCTATCGAAAAATTGCTTTGTTCATCAGCAAATTTGCGATAAGATGAAGAGGTGGAGGCAAGCAACCAATTCTCTCGTTTGCTGGCATCCGAAACAGCTTCGTCCATTATCAATGCTCCTTGAGCAACATCCGTGAACGGATGCATGGAGGCCAGTTTCCGGACGACAGACGCACCCGTATCCCGCCCAGGACACATGTCAACAAGTCAACACTTTGTTCCGGGGTAACGCCTTGCGTGGCAGCGGCATCATTTTGCTCCAGCAATTGTAACTTTGCAAATGCGTCGGCTGTACATGGAGATATTCTGTCGCTAAGGCCGGACAGAAAGTTGGGAGATTCAAAGAGCCGTGCTTTTTCTGGGAAGGCGACGTGAAGTATACCAGAAGTTTTTTGTCAGGGCCCTGCCAGAGGAGAGAGGCTGCAAGGATCACGTGAAGCAGATGCACGATATAGCGGCGAGCTGCCGACGAGATAGCAGGGAGGAGGCAGCGATTATTCCACCGTCATTACTGAACCCTAGGATCAGTACGTGACTGAAGTCCTCCGCACGAGGCACCTCACATTATTCTTTGCCTAAGATATAAATGCGGGAGTTAAAGGACAGCTTATACACAAAGTGTGGAATCTGGCCACATAATCCCTTTTTCAGAGTGCTCTGGACCCTTGCTTAACTCTATACGCCTCTATGATGTCTCTTGCTGCTCTATTGCCGCTGGCCCATGCTCCGGTTGTTGTTCCGATTCCAAACGGTGGCGTAGTATGCTCTCCAGCAAACCAGACACCTCGGTCGCAGCCTATGAGGTTATTTCCCGACTCTCCCTGACCTCCACCGCTTCGTATCAAGTCAAAGTCTGCTTTAGCGTCGACTTGTGTGACTCGAACATTGGAGTAACTTCCATACCCAGCCATGGCATCATTTTGCCATTGTGTAGCTAAGAAGGCCACTGGGTGACAGTTTACTTGCCTCGCGTCGTAATTAGGTAGTCGCGAATAAAATGGCTCCGCGAAGGCGCGCAGTAACTCATCATAGGTTGCTGTGTGGGGTGTGACGTTCTTGAGGGTTGGTATAAAAGATCGTGAGCACGGCGGAGAGAGATAGAACAGGAGAGTAGGGTGGGCATCGTCGCCTGGAAGGCCGGAAAGACTGAATACCATCTGCGTCCAAGGGCCGATTTTCTTAGTCAAGGGGTGATATTCAGGACACAAAAAGTGCCAGAAGGAGTACCCGTCGCGTGATTTCTTTCGGCCACGAACTGCACCGCCTCGTGAAGCCGGCTGTGCACCTTTGCGCTCCCAAAAGGCGGCTGGAAACTTGACAAAGACCTTCTCGAGCGCACCGTATCCGATGTTATCAATTGCTTCTGCCATTGGCGCTGGCAGAGAAGGACTGAAAATCGTTTTGTTATGCTTGAGCCAGCCAAGCGGGCAAGTCACCACTACCTCATCAAAGGATTGGGTCTTTCCAGATGCAGTTGTGACTACAACTTCCCTCTGGCCAGACTCCCTGAAAGTGCTGCAAATGGTCGTTACCCTGTGGTTGAGTTGGATTGCGCCAGCGTTTGTAGCTAGCTGGGCTATCATCTGCACAATTCGCTTGTGTGTGGAAGCAACAAACGCTTCAGCACCATCTGCACCGTCTTGGAGATAGAGATGCTTGAGGCTCTGGGAGGCGATGGGGTCTGCGAATTCATCATTGTGCATGTGTGCCATTTGCTCGCATATGACCCTAGACTCGTCGTCCAAACAGGCAGACTGGATCTCTTGCATGATGAAGTCCATAACACTCGTTTTGGCATTGATCGTATCCGAGTACTGCTTGCTGTATTCTTCTGCACCCTCCATTGCGTCTTCGATAAGTTCTTCGCATTTGTCGACTACGTTTCGAGGTAACTTGTAGCCGTTGGCGTCGTAAACGATACTCTCTGGTTCGTGTAATACTAGCTTTGTCCCAGTTGCCGAGGCAAATTTGGTAATAGGGTTTCGAGTGATGCCATGAATCCAGTTTGCCCCCCTGCAATGGTTAACTATAAGCACAAACCAACATTGGGTGCACTTACATGTCCAGCCAATGACCACAGAGCTGCTCCTGGTGTACCTGCTAGACTTAGTGATCGCTTGGGAGACTAGTGAGAACAACACTTACCCGACCGCCGATTCTATCTCTACCCTCAAACACTGTGACACGGAAGCCGCTGCGGATTAGGGCATCTGCACATTGCAGACCAGAGATGCCAGCTCCTACGATGCAGATCTGCGGCGCCATTCCCTGTTCTTCAAGCTCCCAAAGCCTAGTTTGCCGACTGTTAGATATAGTGTCTCAGAAGGGTAAAATATATGGTACTGTCGATAGAGGAAGCGAGATGGTAGATAGATTCGGGATGAATTTTAAGGTGCCGGTGAATACATCAGCATGCGTGATGCTTGCTCTCCGTTTGAAGTGATACTCTGGTCTTTTTATGCCTTTAACCAATCTTGGCTTCATGCTTGTTTGCCCGAACCAGTGGATTCCACTGAAGCATGCCTGGTAGTGGGCACCCCAGCATGGGTATTGGACACGTCACCCCGGTCTAAAATACCTGCATGAGTCACCAACATGACCACGCGAGGCCCTGCCACAATGCACAGCCGCAATTAAATCTGCTCAGTGTTCATTGGTACAAAGTTGAGCAAACCTTTGCTGGAGAATCGCAGAGCTTCCCAGAGCGGGCTGATCTAGGAGAGGTGAGTCGCGACACGCCAAGGACTCCAAATACAACTTCGCATCCTCGCATATCTGCAAACACTGTTTTGTTACTTGTCGCTCATCGTCCAGATCTATGGCCGGTTTCGTCGCGCTGCTGTCGACGCCTCCTGTAGGTGGCCAGTTCTCCATCTTGTCGTTGATACGTTGAAGTTGAAGGTTGAGTTGATACATAGTATCTTTCACCATTTCTTCAAGCTCTTCCAAAGCGGTACTGGACAATTTGACAGTGCGCCTGTTGGTGTAGTTGATCGGAGCCCTGCCCACGGCGATGTCCCGGATCGTATTCGCGAAGTGATATATTGACGGGAGAGTGCTGCCGTCAACCGGGAAGCCGAAACATGGACTTTGCTGTTCTTGCACTGTCCCAAGGTTTTTGTTGACACAACCACGCGCCGCCCTCTGGCATCGGGGGTGGTAGAGATAGAATTGCAAGTTTCCAATTAGAGACCGTTCCTGCAGACAATGGAAAGCGCCGGAAGGCTGCCCTGCTCACCATCGTTTGCAGCAACACCTAGCAGGCCCACCACTACTAATGGAGCTTGGACCAGTTACAGGCGGGAGAATAGGCCAGCCTACTAAGACCGTGCCGCTGTATGAGCTGGCTTAAAGGCATATTTAGTGGGTATTAGCGTGTGTGAGCTGGCCTAAAGCAACAGCTACAGGGGGGTGGGTGTTAGGCCGGCTCAACTACGATCGCACTGCTGAATGAGCTGGCCCAAAGTTACAGGGGGTGGGTGTTAGGCCGGCTCAACTACGATCGCACTGCTGAATGAGCTGCCCTAACGGCACAGCTACAGGGGGTGGGTGTTAGGCCAGCTCAACTACGACCACACTGCTGAATGAGCTGCCCTAACGCCACAGTTAGTGGGTTTAGGGTGTGTGAGCTGGCCTGGAGGCGCAGTTGCGGGGGGTGGAGGTGCTGCAGGGGTACGTCCTGGCCGATTAAAGCCCCAGTAGGCGGCTCCTGGGTGCGGAAATACCATAACCTAGGAACTGGACTGCGGCCAGGACGTTCCCTCCATCGAATCCGTCTTCATTCAAAGAATCATGATCTCGTTTCCAGACTATAAAATACCGTACACACAAACTATTAGAAGCACAAGGCTTCAATTCGGGTGACAATTATTACGCATATTCTTGCCCCACGAGAGGCCAATTATGAACTTCCATTATTGGTTCCATGGCCCATGCTAGAAGGGACACAAACCCGAGCTGCAGAAACAGTATGACATAAACTACTTCCTAATGTCCTTCCGTGACGCCTGCGCTCTACATGCTGGAGCTTGGGACAGCGAGAGCCACCAGCCATACAGGGCTAATGGCGAACGGGGGCAAGCACGCTGGGCGCTTACAATTTGTTTGCGGCATTGATCGAAGTAGAATACACGCCTGTGCGGTCATCATGTACTAGCCATGTATTTCTTTGTCACACTTCAAGCGACTCAAGAAGCACTATTTACCTTCATGTTCACAAGCTATAGCTGCACAACTATTCGTAATGGCTCCCAAGTTAATTCTCCCGTCTAGCTCTCCACCATTAATCTGTCCACGAAGGAGTCCATAGCCGTCCTGGTCTGCTCATCGAGTAAATCCAACCTCTTCACCCAAATATTCCCGGACGTACTGTGATGGGCCAGCTATAGATGGGGTGATAGGCTGGCCTATCTCAGCTAGGCGCAAGACGGCGTACGAAAGTACGAGGTTGCTTTAACTAAGAGGTGCATCCCATACGAGGGCGTATGAGGGCAGGAGACGTGCAATAAGCCTTCGTATGGAGCAATATGAGAGCGTATGGGAATAGGGGTTGTGTAACACGCGGGAGGAGGTGCACCTACCTTCAAAGAGGTGCAACCTACCCTCAAGTAGGAGGTGCACCTACCTTCAAAGAGGTGCAACCTACCCTCAAGAAGGAAGTGCACCCTACCCTCAAGAAGGAGGTGCATCCTACCCTCAAGAAGGAGGTGCACCTACCTTCAAGTAGGAGGTGCACCTATACCTTCATACGAGGGCGTACGAAGGCAGGAGGCGTGCAATAAGCCTTCGTATGGAGCAATAAGAGGGCGTATAAAAAATAGGAGGCGCCTTCATACGACAGCGTATGCCTTCATACGACAGCGTATACCTTCATACGACAGCGTATGGAAATACGCCCACCCCCCCTTCTTCTGGTCAAACACCCGCTCCCCTTCACGGGCACAACGCTGGGCTAGGCACAACGTTGAGACGGGCACAACGTTGTGCCCGTGAAGGGGAGCGGGTGTTTGACCAGCCTGGAAAGGGAGTAGGCGTTGTGCCCGGCACAACGTTGGGCTGGTTGAGCTGGGCACAACGATGTGCCTATGAGGGGGAGCGGGTGTTCGACCAGCAGAAGGGGGGTGGGCGTATTTCCATACGCTATCGTATGAAGGTATACGCTGTCGTATGAAGGCACATACGCCCTCTAGAACTCATTATAGGCCAGCTAACCCCCGTCCCCCTTAGAGTCTCTACTGTACCTACCGACTGGTGAAAGTGACCCCCCTACACTTTACTGCACCTACCGACTGGTGAAAATGATCCCCTGTGCTCTAGTGCACCTACCAACTGGTGAAAGTGACCCCCCTACACTTTACTGCACCTACAACTGGTGAAAGTGACCCCCTACACTTTTACTGCACCTACCAACTGGTGAAAGTGACCCCATACTCCACTGCACCTACTGACTACGCTGATTCCCACCTAGAGACTGTAATAGGCCAGCCTATTCCCCACTATAGATTCATTCACCAGAGCAAGCCACAGGCGCCTGCGAATCAATTATAGACACTTTCTAGCGTTCAATCGGTCAACTTCGGAGAAATTCTCAAGAACCAGTATCGGTGCTGAGTTGCCGCGACTAATTTTCGGTGATTTCTGCGGGAAGCTCTCGTTGGACAGCTGTCTCATCTTCTAATTCGCGCTTGGCTAGAATATCGCCCCGATCGGACGATGATCATCTGCACTTGCTTGTCCTGTGCCACTAGAACCAATCATATCCGTCACCTCCATAATTCATTGTCCGCTAGCTATAAAGCTGTCAGCCAGCCAATCGGCAAGCTGCCGCTGTATCCATGACGCTGAAAAGGCGTGCAAAAACATGGAAACATAATGTTGGATTCAGGTACTGGTATCTTCACCCTGGCCCCAACCATCACCACTACGTACACCCCAATCGTTCTGCTCCAGTAAAGATCGGGAGAAATGGCTAACCCCGGATGACCCTGGAGATGAAAGCAAACCAGTTCCCAAAAATTGGATCCCAAATACCATCATCAGAGAATGGAGTCAACCACTGACAATATAAAGTTTCGCTGGAGCGATGCCAAGCAAAGAACAAGTAAAAACTAAGCTTACATTCAGCCCATTGCCCAATGATGCCAAAGCGGGACAGAACGAGAGAAAATTTCGCCAGGGCTACGTATCGCGTGATGAGAAGATGCGATCAATTAAGCCGCCGTTACGGGGCCGACTTTTATGTCTTAGTGCGCCGACAACATCGGCACTATGACTACTGCTCAACAGACGACAATTGCTTTCCAGCTCGTATTGACATGGTATGTTCTATCAATGGGAGTTCCGTGTAACAAAATATTAACCCGAATCTGTAGTACAAGATATATCCTCTGCCAATTAGGCGAACACCAAAAGATTTCAAGGAAAATGGAACGTCGCCCATGCAAGGCGATGTTTGACTGGTTAGTGTTGCCTAGTGTGCAGCTGAGGCAGGGCTTGCTGAAAGGAGTGGAGATCCCGCTACGCGTGCTGTTTGGTGTGCGGCCCCAGGTCGGCAATAGCGGCGTCCCCATGTGAATCAGAAATCAATAAATATTTGGAAGCGTCATTTTACCTATGATCGACCCGGATAGCTACATTTTAGATGCATAACGAGCATACAAGTAGAGCTATGAATTCGATTTTCCTCTATCACCCTATTAACTGTACATTTATACAGTAAGGATATTTTTAACTTACAGCTCAGCGCAGTATGAAAGACAGCCTCATCTGCTCCTCGCTCATGCTGCTGAAACTTTGCTGGTGCACTGGGCAGCTTGGTATAGTGGGCAAACCTGATTGCTGCGCCGGAGAATTCACGCTGCACGTCGTATCAATGCTAGACAAAAAGCTTCCGGGCGACGCCCTTGACGATGTTGTTTCGATGACTTGATGTTGAATAACAGCAGTTCTGCATGGTAATGCTTTGCTTTGATAAGCTTCGTAGTCGGGAGACTCAAACGAGCAGGAGAGCGGTGGAGATGGGCCAGACCAAGACGTTGGCGGGTGATGTTGCGTCTTGTGAGATGGCGCCGTGTTCAGTAGTGGCAATGCCTGTAGCATGCCTTCTCTTGTGCCGGTTCGGCAGCAATACTCCTCCCTAACCAGATTTTTCTTTCGGTGGCGGGCGAGTTGTATCCGGAGCCCATGCCTTGCATACCACCAATTTTTGACAGAGTTATCGCTGCGACCATGTAGCCTGCGTGCAATCTTGGTCCATCGTTTGCCGATCTCCGAAACGAGATGCTCGATTTGAGCCCCTTCCTCAGGTGTAATAGGCTTGTGGTTCAAGGACGGCTCCAAGTTCTGGCGGTAGCGCTCGCGGCATTGCTTTGCTGTTCTTGAACCTAATTTCTGAGCAATTTCGACCCAGTCGTGGGGCTTTTGGGATTGAACGAGGTCTAGGAGGCACGCATCCTCAGAATTGGACCACGGCTTGCGTTGGTAGGTCATTGTAGATTCGGCGGCGGTAGGAATGATGGATGTTGGTTAGCAAGAGGTGGGAAAAGCCGCGACTTCATTTTGGCGAGAAAGAAGGTATCACATCAAAAATTCAGTAAGGAGATGCAAAAAAAAGACCTGAAATGTTCTATGAGGAGTGGGACTGTAAGTGTTGGTAGAACACAGTGATCGAGATGTCGAGCTGAAAGCGTGTCCCACCTTGTTCCACCACGGAACTCCTAGAACAACTGTTGACTGTTAGACATCGTCTAAACCGTTGTCTCGGCTGCTGCTGTTCCCGGCAAGTCAATCAGGCGCTGTTGGCGTCGTCCATCAATCTAGCCGAGAATATCCGAAAAGGCTGTCAAATCCCACCGTCGGCAGGGGAGATCTGCTTGCGCTTCGGAGAGAGAATCAGGGATAAGCGGTGTCACTGAGAAAAGGGCAGATGAGTATATCGCATTCCTCGAAACAACGGAGGGCCTAGGTTCTGCAGCGGCTGCAGTTGATGGCCATGTTTTCGCCACGCTGCAGAGCGCAGCAGCAGGGGCGCCGTGGCATCGCCTCCACTGCGGGGCGGTACTAGGACAGGACGATTGAAAAAACATTACCAAGGCTGGGGCGGGGGAGTAAAACCAGTGCGTTTGCACTTTGGGGTTCTGAATACAGGTCATTGCATACTTCGGGGGCCAAAGTGTCCTCGTGATTAAGCCAAAACATCATTCAGCATGCATTCTCAGGAGCTGCTTAGGGATGAACAGGGTTGTCAATTAATAGAATCGGCTGGCGGCATTGCTACTTTCGCAGACCCAAGTATACTTTGAGCTGCTGGCGTTTTTTTGCGTACGGGACGTTTGTGTTCAGTTGCAAGCGTTCAAGAATGTCATCGATGTTTCCTATAGACGCCGACAATCAGGAACTTAATCGTAGTCGTGACTAACCTTTCGCTCTCTGCCATCTTCTGTGATCTGTGTGGTGCTCACCTTGAAGATCCTGTAGGCCAGCATAAGTCTTTGGAAGAGTACGAATGGGCAAGTTGTCGATCCCTCGCAATTTAAACGATTGTGCTCGTGCAGCAGCTTGATAACGATTGTGCTCGTGCAGCAGCTTGATACCTTGTTCGCCAGACGCGCAGCGCTGTTAAAGTGCCCCGCCCGCATCTCAAGCTGAACGTCCTGAATCCTGTCACGCAACTCCTCATACAGGTTCTTCAGCCTCTCTTGGACTTCCCTCGTCGTGTTGTCGCACGCGACGGCAGCAGCATTTTTCATTGCTTCGGCGAGGCTGATTTCTAAAGTTCGCGGCAGGCTCTGGAAAGAAGTGTTCGTGTGTTCGATGATGTCCCGCATCTCATGCATTTTGCCATCAAGCACCTCGCGAGATGGTGCATGGGTAAGGCTAGTCTGAGTGATGATGACCTTGCACACCTCACTGAGTTGATCCCCGAAACCGCCTACAACGCTCGCGACAGCCTCATTTAGAGTCTTTATACCCTTTCCCAGTTCGCGCGCCACTCCACCAACGGCATCAAGAAGGCTGTCTTGTAGTGTGGTGATTCCCGCACCGAGTTCCTGTCGAGCTGTGGTTATTGCCTGCTTTATGCCGGTTTGCGCGTCGCTGATTCTGTCCCGTAAATGCAGCTGCGATTCCTCTACAGCCTGTTTGCACGTTGCGACGACGTCTTTGATCGTCTGAACGCCGTGACGGCATGCGCCAACATCAGTGGCAACGGCATTGAGGACGTTTCGCGACTGAGCGATGCCATCACTTAGTGCGTCGATATCACAGTGCGTAATGAGGTTCTTCTCTGCCTGCTGAATGCGATCGTGCAACGCAGCCGCGGTGGCTGCATTTTGATCAAAGCGCTCCGTCATTTCGGCCTTCAGTATCCCAATTTCGCGTCGCATACTAATAATCACATCAGAAATATGCGCGAGGTCGGGGTGCTGCGCGCTCCAGTGTTAATGCTACTGTTGACCCCTGATCGCGCGAGTTGGACAGCTTACTATGTCACTCATGATGCTCCAGTCGTAGATGCGAAGAACGGTGTGTACATATGAGGAGGATATAAACTTCGTGTAGATGATCTTTGCGAAAAGTCCAACTTACCGTGCCAGTACGCGAATGGTGTTGCGGACGCCGATGGACTACCTCCGCCCCAACATGTAGCAGCTATTGGTTTCGCTGCACATACACTTGCCAGTCTATTCGTCTATTCGGACTCCAGATTGGTCAAATTACCGAACGATGGTGGACTACTGACGCACGATGGCGAACAGGACGAGGCATCACGCATGCAGGATGAACGTACCCCGCACTTCGTGTGGCTTCTTGTGTTGTACTTGCAGGCTCCTTTTCGGTGAGACATAGAGTACCAGACGGCCAAATGTGTGACAGCACGTGCTTTTCACTTGCAGTTGCCATGGCATGCTCCGGCGCGACGACCAGCACTCGACGCGGTGCGGCATACCTCGCAGAAACGACTTCCGCGATCTGTTTACAAGGCCATCTCCAGGCCACATCTTCCATGCCCAACCTTGGTAGGCTCTCCGAATCCAAAAGATATGATGGAACGAACGACTCCATGTACTCTGGATATTGCTTGCGCTGAAGCAATCGCTTTCATGCATCTTTTACACGCCGTTCCGACCGAGCCGTCAATCAACCCCTGGCAACAGCAAGCACACATCAACCCTTCAGCATACTCTCTGCCTTTCGACAGAGAACGCGACTTAGTGAACACTCTTGCATTTCTTTCCAATATTGGCGAGGATCCAAATCATGTGCCTGCGCTGTGCATGCATGAGAAGCCGGAAGGGGATGGAATGGAAGTGATCATCGCGGTCAATCAAGCTCGCCATGGCGATGGCCTCTCCACTCTCAAAGACATTAAGGATGGCTTCGAAAACATCTTTCATTCGTTATCCAGAGATTTGCAGAGTGAGTAGGCATCATCCGTAAGCCGCTGGTCGTTGCCATCTAACTTCGAGATAGATCCCGACGCGGAGGACGCAGTCTTCAGGAACATTGTGACAATGTGCTCGCTCCGCATCCGCGAAAGGATGCGCTATGCGCCACATAAGCAAAAGAAATCCAAACAGACTCTTAGGCAATTGCTAGAAAAGACCTCGGCCCTACTAGCCAGTAAATATCCCGAGTTTCGTCAGCAAGCCAAAGCAGTGATCAAGAATATCGACATGTGGCTGAAGCACCAAACCGAACGACGCCTCTGCGACCTTGTTGAAGCTGTTGTACAGCTTTCTCGCAACAGTAGCTTATCGCAAATGCTTTCTTCAATCCCAAATGCCATGATGGGCCCGAGCGAGCGAAGAAATCTGCTCAAGATGATCCGCCGAGTGGCTCGATACCGTGAGGCCGCACGATTTCTGTATCGCACTGCCAGGAAATACCCCCTCGTTCGCAGCATGAAGGTTGTTATGGTCAGCCTACCTCGGAATGCATTTCGCCCGCTGTCTGTTGACTATCAGCCGGATTTTTTTGTCACCTGTGCGAGATTGCAAATTGCACACGGGAGCCAGACCAGTGTTGCCCAAGTGGCACGTTTGCTTAATCGAGACGGACAAACAGCGGAGGAGTCATTCTCCCACCAGTGTTCCAAGACTATACGAGAGGGGAAAATACACGCCGAGATACAGCTCATATATTACCTGGAAACACGTCGGCCTAAGCCAGGCCCCAGAGTGGTGGCATCAAGCAAAATGGCGTGCGTCCTCTGCAATATATTCTTGTGTCAAGCCGCGAAGGTGTATACGAAACGATGTCATGGAAGACTGTACCCTGCCTGGAAGTTACCTGTGTTCCCCTCAGGGTGCGGATTGGAGCGCCGCTTCGTGCAAAGTTTAGAGGCTTATATCCACAATAGCGCAGCTACATTGCTGTTGAGGCAGCGCAGAACTCTCTTTCCGCAGCCTAGTGAAAGTACGCTGTGGACGATGGATATTTCCGCAACTACATTGGGGACGCAGCTCGGGCCAGGGAAAATGACGGAGGTAGGATCACCGAGACTGGAGTCCTGCGTTGATACCAGCCGAGAACGGCCGGCCACACAAGCAGCGAGTGGTTCAGAGCCTGAGCACCCGCTGGTTGGACAGACGGAATCGAGCATCGACGTCGCACCCTTGGACAAGTTGGATCTACTTGCAGTGCGTCAGGGAAGCTTGACCACACTCAGTCTCGGCGCCTCCACTATCGCACCTGTCCAGGCAGGACCGGCTATCATTCAGCTTGAATACACGGTGGGCAAGAACGGCGGTGTAGGGTCAAGGCTAGGATGCAGTGTGGAATGGCTTACGCGAGAAGATGCAGACGCAGCAAAGTATAATAAAAACATGTGCATTATAGATGCAGATTCTTTAGATGACGAAGTATCCATCTCGGTTTCGAATTTGGAAGGTCTCTGTATCGCCACCGGCGGAAATTTGGTCAAATTGGAAATAAAGAGTTGAAGCGTGCCAGGCCATAAGCAAGGAAGACAGGTCACAAAATAGTCCGCAGAACCTCTGCTGCTTCTACTCTCACTCTTTCCCGTTCTTTGCTTGTTGTATCGTTTCCAGTCGCTTGTTGGTTCTGCAATTCGTTGTCTTGCCGGGCGAGCTGCGCAAAGATCGACCCAAAAAGTTGAAGCTGATTCTCTGCCTCGCGGGCCGCTTCATCGAAATCTTTCATGTGTCGACGCTTGCGTTGACGCGCGGATAGGATATCTAACCTCTCCTTGCGGTATGAGTCTTCTGTTTTAAGCCTTTGCTATGTTGCAAGGCTAGTGAAACGCGCCCTCTGGCTCTCATCTGGTGTGATCCTTACCACGCCTTTAGGCGCGCAAATCACGGATTGTGGCATCGCGTATCAATCTGCCAAACTACAAATATTGTCTGTCTTCATGTATTTGCCAGCTCGACTGCTTCGCATTGCCCTCACTTCAGTGTATCTGAAATGGAGCAGGGGACGAGGCTCTTTAAAGGTATGAATAGGAGTTGGTTCTTGCGCTTAATAAATACAGAAGCCTCTCCGCGAAGAGGGGTCTCACAGCTCTTTTTCGATCACGATGAGTGTAAAGAAGCCGGTTGTGACACCTAAGATACAGAGGACCCCGTCAAATGGTGCAGACGCTTGCACCTTCTCCACGAGACGCAATCCTGGTCCGGTCCCTGTTATTATGGCATCTTTTGGATTCGTAAGGGCGGTCAGATAAACGCTTCTGGGCCATTAATGGATGCTGCAATGTGCTTTGCGTCTCGAAAGTTTTTGTCGATTTCACGCGCTTTCGCGCATCCCGCGCATTCACGAGCAGATGCCGACACGGTGACTTTCTGATGACAGAAGCACCCAGCTTCCGTCAAGGGCAAATGCCAATTAGTCAATAGCTGCTCGAGGCCTGAGGAGCATTTAACAGCTCGGGCGTATATACCTACAGAAACTGCGGAAAAGGTGGAAGAAATTCTCCGTTAGTGCCTCCGCGATGAGCAGCCTCTTCTGACGTTTGATGTCTATTGGGGAGAAGTCTGCATAAACCTGTTAAATTGCCTCTGGCAGGAAGAGGCGCAAGCAAATAATTGCAGTTCTCGTTTACTAGCATCCATTACCCGCGTTCCTTGCGCCATCAGTGACCGGATGCGTCGAGGCCAGTTTCTGACGGCAATCCCCAAGGTACATGTCAACAAGCCGGCACTTGTTCTAACTGATGAGTCAACATCTTATTCAACCAAATCTGTCCTCACTGTAGTCGTCGACTGGCGCGTCAAATTCTGCAAAAGCCGTACCGGCCGCGTAGTCAAGTCGACAGAGTCAATTAGGAGCAGCACCAGCTTCCTAGACACCAGTACAGTACCTGTCTTAAGGCAGATAGCGGGCTAATCAGGTGAGAACGCAGGCAGAGTCTAGTGCGAGAGCCTTGTGCGAGAGTGTGCCACTCGCTAGACCAGCCCCGGATGTATACCGGACTTTCAGCCAGTCAAACAGCTTCCACGCTGCAGCTTTCTCGTACGAAAGTATGCGTAAGAGTATGAGCATCGGAGATGGCATCTCCACTTCAGCTCAACCAATCAGACAGCTTGTACTTGGTGCAAAGCTTTCTCGTACGAGACGCTGCGCGAGAGCTATAGTACGGCAGAATATTTATAAATGTCTAACCCCACCAGCCCCCTAGCCTTGGACTGGGGGCGTTCTTTTTACGTATCTGTGAATAAACGATAAACTAATGCAATAAATTATGTTTAGATATCAGGAATCGGCAATAGAGCAAGGATGTCCTCCCACAGGCGCTGTGCCACGATCGACGGCTTGGTGGCAGGGCTGTTCACACTGCGCTGTAGCAGTGGCAGGGACAGCCCTTCGGCTGCAGCCCCCGATGTGGGACACCCCTAACAGGACATCACCCTAAGAGGACATCCTCGCTCCCAGGCTGGCTCTACAAGTCCGTCCTCCACTGTGCGATAGCCCTGGCAGGCCAGCGGTTATCGAGGCTAGCATCCAAAGGACATCCCAGCAGGAGGGCCATCATAACTCAATTTTTTTTCGTACGTTTCGCCGGTCGCTCTTCTCTTTGTGCAGTCTCGATCGCGGCGCAGCCTCCAGCCCTACACTAGCCTCAACCAGCGATTACTTGGAATGTACATCAACTACGTCTAATACTGTACGGTCCGGATCGAGTGAAAAGAGGGTTATAAATTCGCAAGTGAAGTTTGAAGGCGAAAACTCTCACAGCTGCAACTTCCAACGCCAGCATGGACTTCTTATCAGAGGCAAAGCCATCAATCTGCCGCCACCCGCACGGTTGGCGCAGATAAGACACATTTGGTAAATGTACAAATGTCATCTCTGGGCTCACAGTCGGCGCGGCACGACAAAGTCTTGGGGAACTGGACTTGAGAAGTTTAGGTACAGTATAGTGTAATACATCGAGAAAAAGAACGAGTAAAACCTACTTCCCGCGGAAACCTGCGGTCTCATGGCGGTATGCGTCTCGGCACTGACAAGCAGCGCCAGGGCGGATGAACAAGGACGCTACGCTGTGGTGCCTGGCTCCACCGGTTGACGGAGGCTATGGTGAGACAAGTCGACTGTGTCTGGCCAAAAAATAAAGGAACGGGATACAGGGCACTCCCGTTCATCCAACTGTTCACCTGCTCCACATAACTAAATTTTTTCTTCTTTCTCTTTTATCACCATAGAGTGCAAACGCTGAACCCAAATCAGCCTGTACTTCGTAGCAATCAGAGGTTCGAGCCTACGAAGAACCTGCCTTAGACATGACGCTGAGACAATCACTGTCTCCTCATTATTGCAATGGTACGATTGGCCGGGCCTGGCGCAGCAGTGTACTGAGTACTGATACAAGATGACGACTGAAAAAAAGTTGGTTGCCGTATCTAGCAAAATGCATTAATAATACCGTATATCAGCGTTGTTTTTACGTATCTATGAATAAATGATATTTACATAAACCAATGCAATAAATTATGTTTAGATATCAGGGACGTTTCAAGGGCTGTAAGGTTTCCAACTTCTAAAAATAATGCTTGGAATGTTAGAAGTCTCCCGTGCGCTGGTTGCGGCGGATGGACAAAAACTGACGGCCTCGGTACCATTCTCATGTAGACATACCGCCAGCGTGGATATCCGCCAACGTGGACATCCCACCCACTGATTGGATGCTAGCCTCGATAACCGCTGGCCTGCCAAGGCTACACAGTGTGGCGCTACAAAGATTCCATTCGTTCCATCTGACGTCACCCGGTCAAACCACGTATTCCCCAGCCTGTGCTATGTACTGCGTCGCATATCCCAATGTATGATGTGTGCTACTACATGCGTTCCAGCCCACTGTATCCCAGCATATGCTCTATACCAGTACATGGCGTATCCCACTAACTGATGTGTGCCAGTGCATGCGTCCCAGCCCTCACTGTATGCTGACTACAAACACCAGTGCACCTTCATCGGTCAAATTTGCATAAATGCCAGTAATCTAGAGAATCATTAATACAATCAATATTAAAACATCGGCATAGTTTTGTTTGTGGTGGACGGGAGTTCTCATGATATCTGGGACGGCCGCCTGGACACAGACCGGTGGGAAAGGCTTCCATGCGCAGCCGCCAGGCTAGTGGGACGTGCGGCCTTTTGCTTTTTCTCATTTTTTACGTCCTCCTTTCGCAGCACTACGGGGTTCCACCAAGATAAGTACTTAAAGGGGAGGACGCCCGCTCTTGATGCACTCTACCCGCACAACACCAACATGAGCAACCCCCGAGAATTGAGTCTTGTAGAGCCACACGTCACAGAACGTTTTGCGCGTAGTCTTCCGGCAAACTGTACAGATGCAGTCATACGACAGAATACACGCTCTGGGCGTGATCGATTTCTGTATTGCCGAAGGATATCTGGGCCAGACGTTTGTCGCCAGGTGCGGCTTACGCGACAGGTTAACCATGACAATATAGTGCACTTTCTTCACGTTTTTGAATGTGAAGACCCCGAGCATCTTCTGCAAATTTCCGAGTTTATGCCCATGGTCGTGGTAGATGTGTGCGCAAATTTCTTTGCTGAATTTGACGAGCCTGCCCTAGCAGCAGTCCTCGGACAGGTAAGACGCCGCGATTGTGAACGAGGGCTCCTTCTAACAACACTAGGTTTTACAGGGTCTGCTATACATGACCGCTGCCGGACTCGGCCAAACTAATTTTAGTGCAAGAAAAATACTGATGGACTTTGATGGCAACGTGAAAATTGGTATGATGGTTGGTTCATTGATTTTTGAGAGTGTTGTCAACTAACCCTGTCCTTCAGCCCTGGCCGTATACTCTGAGCAGTGGCAGAATCATCCCAGCATGCTGCTACCGCTAGTCCACCAACTGATGTATCCGTGGGATTACGACAGTAGAATTACATTTCAGTCTGACAAGTGGTCAAACAATTCCGAAGCGATCGACTTCTGCCAAGCATTGTTGCAGCCCAATGCAACCATGGACGACATGCTCACAGTAAGGCCCATTCCACAGCTATGCGTTCAGCAGACTAACGGGAGTTAAGAGCCGCCTCTTGATGCTGCCTTGGAAGCGAGAGGATATCCGAGACCTCATTATGCTTAGGGACTGGAAAGCTCCAGGATATTCTCCTGGCAATATTTATAAATCGTGCTGGATCTAAAGTCAAGGGCCGTGGGTCGATCCAGCTTGGGTATCATAGTTGCTGAGGAAAATGTCCAGTGCGCTGCCCGAAAGGACGGATTGACGGAGTACGATGGCCTCGGCTGCCATAGGAATGCCGCCGCTTGCGAATGTATCTGCCATTGCCATCGTTGCCGGGAAAATGAAAGCAGAGATTAATCGCGGTTGTGCACACTGTCGCCTAGACCATAGCTCTTTTGACCGTAACCGTTTAGAGACGGATGGTAATTTGCAATGCTCTGCCTGCTAAATTGTAGGTCAGAATCTGCAGGCGTTCGTAATGCACTGATTTTAATAAAAAAAAAAGTTAGTCTTCCATTCCGGATGAGCAAGGATGTCCGCCCACAGGCGCTGTGCCACGAAGGACGGCCTCGTGGCAGGGCTGTTCACACTGCGCCGTCGCAGTGGCAGGGACAGCCCTGCCGCTGCAGCCCCCGATGTGGGACACCCCTAGAAAGAGGACAGCACCCTGGGAGGACATCCTCGCTCAGAGGCTGGCTCTACTAGTCTGTCCTCCACTATGCGACAGCCTTCGCAGGGCAGCAGTTATCGGGGCTAGCATTCAATCGACATCCCAGCAGGAGGGCCATCATAAACTCAATTTATTTTTGTACGTTTCGCCGGTCGCTCTTCACCCCCACGTCTCCTTCTCTCAACCGCCCATTGCGGTACTACATAAATTGCATCGGTACCGTTCGATCTCACCCGGTCAAAACACGCTTCAGCCGCCAGTACTCGATTCTTGCTACTAAAAAGACCCATGTCTCTCCGCAGGTACTTGATCGCTAATCGCTGCACCTCAGAAGGATTTTCCGCATCCACCACAACCTCCCGATCCACTATCCATTCACCCTTTTCTAAAATCTTAAACGTAACCCGCACTGTTTCACCGTCTTCTGACACCGTGGATCTAGCCTACGTCCGTTAGCAACACATCGCATCATCAATCACACCAACTTTCATACCTCGATAGTTTCCTCCGTCTGATTTCCCATCGGTGCTTCCAATGGCCTGTCGGAGGCGGCCGGCAATGCCCTTGAGAACAGTGGTAGTGGTATGTCCTCCGTTGGGGCCAGATGCTCCTCCTCTGAGTCAAACGCACCCCGTATCATGTATTCTAAGCCGACGGCTCCATCTTCTTCCGCACGTCCTTCGCCTGGTGATAATGGTACGTTCTCCAAGGGTTGGCGTCGCTCGGTAGCTTGCCGAAGCTCATCAATGTCTTGGCTTCCCCCGCGCGTAGAATTCACCAAAGGCGCTTGAGACAAAACATCCTTCTCCTCCGTGGCAGCTTTGATATCCGCCTCCAGGCGCTCTCGGCATACTTCTAGAAAGTCAATATTCTGTCGCAAGCCCATCTCCTTCTCCACGAGCTTCTTGTTAGTGGACTGGTATTGTTCTTTCAGTGACGCTATCGAGTCACCTTTCGCCTGTTCGTCTTCTGTGAGCGCTCTGACTGTCATTGACAGATCATCGATGGAGGAACGTAACCGCACTTCCTCTTCCTCCAATTGTCGGATGACCAAGCGCTTGTTACGTTCCATCTCCTCTAGCCTGTTCAGCTCGTTCTGCTTTTCACTAAGCTGCGCCGATACCTGTAGCAGTCTTTCCGTCCCACTTGCATCCTCGTCCTCAGCTGTTGCTTCCAGGTTCGTGGCAATACAATCCAGCCGTATATCTCCCTCCATGTCCGCTCGACCCTGCTCCAGTTGCTTCATATGAGCATGTTGCTCTGGCTCTTTGGCCGCGAGGGTCTCGAGCCGAATAACTTGTTCCACTTCCCGTTGCTTCAGTTTCTCAAATTTGTCTTGGAGGTTCTTTTCAGTCGCCGCTGATTCAGCTGCGCGGGCTGTTATGGCATCCTCGAGCCCAGCTAGCTTTTCCGTTTGCTGTCGCTCCTTGGTCAAGAGCATTTGTAGCCGTGACTCAGCATCCGCAGCCTCTCTTTGTGCAGTTCGCAGCTTCGTCTGACATTCGCTTTCCCGCGAGGCAATTTCCATTCGAGCACGAGTCTGGGGGGAGGCAGTAATTATTTCACTTGCACGCTCGATGTCCATGCCTACGTCCTGAACGCTTCGTGCTTCGGGCGCATCTCGCATGGCCTCACAAGAGATCGCAAGATCCTTCCCAAAAAAAGCAAAGTAGGTGGAGCGTTGAATAAAGAATGACGACAGAGTCCTATTTTGTCGCGCCATGGTAGCATGCAGCTTGTCTAGGAACAGAAGTGGTTTGCATCGCACATGATCGGAGACGAGTGGCCGTCCACATTGCTTTGCGGTCGCGCCAGCTGCTATTACCTCGGGCTCTTCCACATCAACATCTTGGTTATTGCAAATAGGACGGGCCGCTTCCATCACAGTCGTGACTGCAGAGATACTAGACTCTATATCTTCGAAATAGAACTGGTCTGGTTTTCGTGCCATCTTCAGTAGCCGGTGCGCAATCTGGCGGTCCGGGTTACCCTTCAGCAGCCTTTCAATCTCTGTGGTTCTGAATCCAAGCTTGTACGCGAGCGACGCGAAATCAAACAACACCATCTCATCAACACCGGCAGTCTTGTAGCCTGCAACTATCTGCTCCCGCTCGTGGGGCATATCTTCGAAGTGGCGGCGAGCATACAGCCATAGTTGCCGGTAGGCCAGGTCAAAATGATCTGTTCCATCCGTCGCAACCGCTTTGAATGAAGAGCTGGACACCTGCACCAGACATTCTGTGCCCTGCTCGTCCACTTCGGGATACGCATCTTCCAGAGCGGAGCGGATGGTCTTGTGGCGTCCCGGGGGCAATAGCATCTTGATACAATGCGCTGCATCCTCGATGTACTTGCGATCCTCGAAAAAGCTATTGAGTGATGGCACCGTACAGTCAACGGTGGCATCACGTATTTTAGACCAAATTCTCTCTCGCTCAGCCTCGTTGAAAGCGCCGAGGATGTCACCGCTGCGGACGCGCGCGTGCAGGTCGCGCGCGTGCTTTTCGCAGGCTCCGGGCGCCTTCAGTTGCAGCGCTTCCAACGACGTTCGGTCAAGTTTCATCATAGCGCTCTCGTTGCCGTCAAAAACGGAGTGCCAGAAGTCTTTGATGTGGTTCAAATAATGTAGCGATTCCTGACGGTCAGCAATGCGCACCAGCACAAGTAATACAGCACTGCATACCTCATGGCACCCCATGGATGTCATTTTGTTAACGAGGCTGAGTTTCAGATCTCCATAGAGGACGGGAATGCGACGAAATGCATCAAATGCCACGCAAAGTCTGGGGTCAGTCACTATCTGGTCCATCCGATTCTTCTTGTGCCCGGAACCAGATGTGGCGCCCAGGCGCGCCTTCCATGTATCTTCGGCACGCGAATTCTCTTGCCCAAACACGCCTTGGTATTCCCGTATCTTGAAATAGAAATCTCCGTCAGCTGGTGCCTGTTCGCAGGCATATTCTTCTACTAAGTCCCGCCTCGTCTCGTCGCTGATGTCTGCACCTGGTCAGTTGTACGACTCCGTGGTGGTTCGCGGAACAGACCTGCAGCATAGAGATCGACCACCCACCGCGGCTCCGGTGAGTTGAGAACCTCTCTGGCGGCTTGGACACGATCTTCTCCTCTAAGACACTTCAGTTGGAAAGCTGAAGGCATATCAAGTCGCGCAAAGAAGTCGCCTCCAGCTACCAAGTCTCCTCGAGTCAAGTTTGAAATGGCCAATGCGTTTTGTAACTCGGTTTCGCTGATGATCGCCGGAATTCGATTCTGCATTTCTCCAGGGTTGCAGCCACGCTGCCCTTGGAAAAGTTTTATAAGTCTCTGAACATTTTTTTGGTCTGGTCCTCTCGAGTATGGGAAGCACAGGTTGTCGAGTCTGATATTGACAGCTCCAATGTATTTTGACGACTTCTCTTGCCGGATACGACGCGATACGGCTACAGATCTAGTTCTTGTCATAGTCAAACAGAAACTGCGGAGGGTGCTAGAAAACCAGTGCATGGGCTATGGGCGGCGGGGGCGGTGATTTTAAAGCTACACCTACTCGTAGGGCATCGCAACAGCACTTACAGCCTAGCCACATATAGTGGTGTTCTGCTGCCATCAGCGGCAGGTTCGAGCGGCGTACCCGATAAGACGCCTTCTAAACGTGACAATTCAAAAGCAATATTGATTTCGCAGCTGTGCTATTAATACGACACCATGGTATCTTATGGCCATCTTTTGAGGTCATTAATGTTAGGTCCATAATTGAAGATGTTCGGATGGAAATAGCCCTGAATGAATTGATCCGTTAGTGACCTGTCGAGACTACGAGCGAAGCAGCAGGTTCTAGGCCTGTAAATGTAGAAGGCCTGTAACAGAACCACCAGAGCGCTGCGCCGTGCTGGTCACTTAAAATCCCCCGTTGACCCAATTTGAAACGGGCCACGTACGACAGCTAGCCATTGGTGTGAAATTACCTGATAACATGCTCACTAAATCTGAAAAGCATACTACCAACGTTGACTTTGCAGCTGTGCTGCAGCATGATCATCAGCTTGCTACAACGCAGGAATACGACGAACCAATAAAGAGCAGCTCTGTTCCTGCCAAACGTTTGAAGAAAAAGCACGGCACTTCTCACACTGTGGTTCCTTCGCGGAAGCAAGAAGATTTACCTCGTTCACAAACGGCCGCAAACCCGCCCGTGGTACATGAACCTTTCTGGAAGAGTTACAAAGAACTCTACAGCATCCAATTTGGCAACGGAGCGTACTTTCCCGTAGCGCAGCGGACAAAGCTTCAACCAGACAAGCATTCCCTCTGCATCGTGAAAAGGTTCGCTGGCGCCAACGTCGACAAACACGTACATGCGATCCAACAGGTTGATCATCAGCAGTTTGTGCAGGCTCAAAAAATTTTCTCTGTACAAAACGAGTTGTTTGTTGCGTTTGAGTTCATGCCAGTGTCTCTTGCAGAGGTTGAAGGAAATCCTCTCCTAGACGATCTCCAGCTTGCATCGATACTAGGACAGGTATGTTGCTCAACTTTAGCGACACGCAAGATCACTGCTGAGAGAACTAGGTCGTGGATGGTTTGTTGTACCTGAATAATAATTCTCTAGGTCATGGCCAGCTCACATGCTCCAATATTCTGGTCGATATGCACGGAAATGTGAAGCTTTGTAAGTCGCCGTGTGAGACTACGGAAACGTCGGACTGACTCAGCATAGGGGGTCAGGAATTCCTTCACGATCACTTCAACTTGAAAGAAACTATGCATAGTATTGCTGTACTTACAATGAGACTTATACAAGGGTATGCTAAGGAAGATGGGCGGATTGGGCTAGACATGCCAGACCGGTGTCCGCTTGGCTTTGACTTTCTCTCTGCCCTTGATCAGATGACGAGCATCGAGGATTTGACCAAAGTACGTATACAAACATGGTAGCCTAGAAGGTATGCTAATGTGCGTAGCACCCACTGCTGAAACAGCATTGGCACAGGGAATGGCTGGTGGGGCTGGTGTCACTGGTCCTCATTTGGTGTGATCGAGGATATAAAGTTCACCCGAGAAGAGACGAGATTTAAGTATCGATGCAATTTTACAACTAAAAAACTTTTTTGGTCTTCATTGGCAAAGATTCCATGTGGTTTGAGTGAATTCTCCCGCCCAGACACGATTCGCTGTTGATTTCGATACAAACGCCTGAGGACGAGAAGGGAGAAGAACAACTTTACAGACAGTAGAATCCAAAATACATACGGTTCACAGAACTAACTGCACGACCAGTCGTAGCGCATTGACGCGTCATGGCTGATAGTCAGTGTACATGATGTCTATATTGCTGCGCCGATTCTGCCACAACAGATCGTTCAGCGCATCGCGAATAAAACCCTTCGCAGATACTGCAAAAATATTAGCTTTGCCATGATGCAGAAAGGCAACGCACCTGATATGACTGTCTTGCTCTCGGGTCGTCGTTCTCGCAGCTCCGATGAGACAACATCCGCAAGAGGTATTTCACCGGAATATGCAGTGGCTCTGTCGCCGAATTTTACCTCATTTATATTCTCTGATTTGATATAGATCGAGATGCGGAGATTCTACTAGACAGATTAGCATATCAGTCACTGGCTGCATGGGCTACGTACATATTCTCCGTCAAGCTTGTCTTCGTCGAGCGCCTCGTTTAGCAATTTCTGAGCGGCGATTCCGACGCCTTGGAAAGGTCAGCAGGCGCATGCCACATCCATCTTGGTGTTTCTCACCTGTCCTATCTATTTGCCATACAAGATGGATTCTGCGAGTTAAAGTTGTGCGACTGTTTTGATCGTGGATCAGCTTTCGCAGATACGGTAGGTGAGCAGCAATGCCAAATCCGGTGGCCAGCATGACAACATTTTCATATAAATGTACTGGTAGCTGCTTTCCATACGGCCCGCTGAACATTGCCTTGTGTGTGGCAGGGCCGTGGTCCGACAGAGTGCACAGACTCTTGGTGAAGCCGCCGCGAGGCTCGATAAATAGATGAAGATGCTTCTGCGGCTTTTCAGACCAGGAGATCACAGTAAAAGGATGTGTCTGTGCGGCCGAACCCAGACTGGCTGACGGGATCCAAAGGCTTATATACTGTCCAGCTTTCACCTTCAGTGGCCTGGCCAACTGCAGTGTGACTTTGATTGCGCCGTTGTCGTATGACACTCGTGCCCTGGAAAGTCCTGACCTGTTTCGATATAAGACGCTGGCAAGCCATAATATAGAGATGGTAGAGTATAGAGCTCCGCCAATGTACAGATACAAGCGCGGGAACAGATCGGCGGATGAGGCATGCCGCCAAAGACCGTACACGAGGGCGAACGAAAGTATCTGGTGGATGCGCAGGGCGGCTTCGTACGAGACGCTTCGGACTGCCAAAGGGATGGCCTGCGCGCATAGACATAGAATGGACTATTGATTTTGTTGTTAGAAATTCGGCCATACTTGGGCAAAGCAACCTACCACCAAGGCAAACACATCCTTCGGTGCGTGCAGGTCCAGCCTTCCCTTTGCTGTGCCAGCCGCGGCGGCATGGAAGACCGCAAGAGCCACTGCGAGAGCCCCTGCCAAAGCATGAAGGCGCCGGCAGGATCGGAGCGACAAGCCAAGGATATCCGCGAGAAACCCAAGGTATGGGCCTGCGAAGCAGAAGACAAAGTTGACGACGGAGAGAGTGCCAGATCGAGGAATAGCCTGATCCATGCTGGGGTAGGGAGCTACGACACAAGAAATAGTGGTCCCAACGTACGCTAAAAGCAACAAAACATCGCTACGACTCCAACGATCAAGACATTTGCCGCCGCGTACCACCGTTGGGTAGACCAAGTAGTCAGACGCTACTTTTCTCATTGTATTGAAAGGCAGGAGCACAGATTTTAGCGCAAACGGACAAAAAGCCTGTGTGATACGGTAAATCGGAAGGCGCAGAGCCAGTAGGCAAATCAAGGCACCACAAGCCAGAGAGTACAAGAGCGTGATTTCGTACATGGCCGTACTAAGGTATGGGAAGGGGGAATTCAAGTCAAAAAAAAATTACGGGTTCGATATTTATATGGTTTGCTAGCTGTGGTAATGACCATTAGCACACAAAAGGATGTTTGTCTGATATTTTCTTCGCTGACACTGTCGCAACCAAGCCGCTAACAAAACCGCTGGTGCAGACCTCGTTGAACTCTCAGTATGAGTGTATGAGTATGTATTGGTGTATATCTACGACACAACAATCTGATGGCTGGCGGTGCCTTGTGGCTTCAGTTTCACATTTCAAGATTACTATGCAGCTGCGAGCGGGAAAAAGCGACGCTGAAGTGCCCGATGTTGGGAGTGATGAGATGCCGGCTAGGTCAATTTCGAGCCCGTCCAGGTCAACTCTCTGACTCGGCCTTCAAAAGTAGCTTCCAAATTCCCCAATCTGGCAATGTACAAAGCAGAAAATTGATTGTGTATACTCGTTGCCATGTTTGGCTCTTGTAGAAGCGCTCACTCAGTGTTCGGAAGATTTAAGCCTCGCCAGGGGGGTACATCGGAGAAATCGGTGGGCTACAAACGAACAATGTAGTTCTATATCTTCACAGTAGGTACATCGAGTTCAGGTGCAGTGTCCGCGTGGATCCATAAAACTTTTTTATGCTGGCAACCAGGATCGGCCTAACATGGTCAATGCACAGTGTATCCTAGTTCGCACTGTGCGCATGCTTCACAGTCAAGCTTACCCACCACTTCTGCATATCATAGCGCCCCAAGTTCATGCAGTTAGATCTCAAAGTAGTGGGTATAAATGGCCTCAGATGTCTCACACCAACATTCATCCCATCTCGAACTGTCTTTTCTACAGTTTTTGTACATTAGCTACATCAAGTTCATCCCGCTCAAACCTGATCATCTGCTTGCTCTAGTGCTGCACAAAGGAACGTCACGTGTCTAGTGCTGCACAAAGGTACTCACGTGACAAACATGAAACACGTCAGGGGTTGGCGTGCTGCAGAGAGAGGAATACAGAGTCTCAGCCATCCCCCTCCCTGGCTCGACCTCCAGGTTTCACACCAGCCGCCTAGCTTGCCTCATTGCTATCTTTATGCCAATCGCCCGACAAGAAATATCCGAATTTAGCCCAGACGCTTTCAACAACTTTGACTTTGAGTGCAATTATGGCAGTCCACCTGCTGGAACCTTTGATAGCCAGGGTTGGAACCCTGCGGTGCCCAATGCTGCCGAGGATGGAAGCCAGGATCCCTGTGCTTTTGAGTCTTCTACAACGCCATTAACTTACAACGTTATTTGGAAACTGCAACTTCGAAAAGGCAGAATGATAACACTTACAGGTGACACTGTAGAAGATATCCGCGTTGCGCCCGCCGCATTTTGGAACGACCACTTGCAGAACGAACTCCTCGACGTCGTGACGGAGAAAGCCCCTGAGCCGCAATACAAGCCCGACGAGACAAAAATAACAGTATCAACCTCGAAACGCGCCCAACGTTGCCTAGAGAAGCGCTTCCGTGCACTCAACATCGACTGTAGTCCCGTAGAGAAAAAACTACGATCTTGGAGTGACCAAGACAGCAATCTCACTGTTGAAGTCTAGTTCATTTACAAGGAAGTTCAGACTGATTCCACGAACAAAGTCGGTAAAACTGGGCGTGGCGCTACCAAGCAACAACTTGCCGCACGAGACAAACTTGTCGCTCAACAAGAGGCTTCCGGGGTGCGACCTGTGTGGAAAGACGTCTACGCGCTGTTCGAGAGTTCCAGCGTTGTCTGTCCGAATCGTGGATTTTCCTGCTGGCGGGATCCCGAAACAAAGAGTCATCGCAAATTAGACTCAGACACCATGGACAAACTCATCGACTATGCTGAAGAGGGTCATAAACTCGAGACCCACGGCGACGTCCCGGATCGTATTCGCGAAGTGATATATAAACATGAAGAAGAGGAGGCAGAACGGAAAAGGCAGAAGCGAAAGGCATCTGATTCACTACAAAGCACCATTCGTATTTGCTGCCACGGGTCTCATGATGGAAGCTGCCATGATCCAGACGCGAATTCGTCAAAAGTCGCTCGTGTAGCTCGGCCAGACGTTCTCAAGCTCCCCGTGCCTGTGCATAAGGCACCCGAGTTACTCTGCAAGTGGCTCTGCAACCAGGTGTCCAATGAGAGATGGCAGTCTGCATACCAACTCGCCGGCAAGATCACTGTGGATAATGGCTACCACTTAGGGCGTATGTATGAGTCGCAGGCCTTCTACGCTGATTTGCTTGTGAAGGGCGGGGTGCTATTGGGGATTGCAGATCAGTTTGTCAGTCGCATTAGAGAATGGCTGGACAGCCTTTGCTCGGAGTGAGACTGTAGGTTTTAATGTGTTTGGTAATTCCTTAGCTCAATTCTATGGTTTGATGTAGAATCCGGCATTCCGAAAATGGCCTTCTGCAATATCGCTTCTGTCCTTAATTGCCGCAATGCATGCCTTTACGTAGTCGATGAAACTCCGCTTCCTCAGCCCAACCTGTTCTTTATGTCTTGACCTACTAGTTGTCTTTATAACGCCGAAATTCTCCTCTATGGGATTTGTTCTAGGCGTGTATGGAGCTGTCAAGAACTGCCGTACACCAGCTTCGTTGCACAATCTTTCGATTTTATCGGAGAAGTGAAAGGAGACATTGTCCATGATTAGCACAGATTCGTCGTCCTCTGGGAACCGTCCGCAGCTGTGCAGTAGTTGCTCAATGTAGTCCTCGAAGAACAGTGTATCCGTCGACCCATAATACACGCGAGATTGCTTGATGCCTTTCATAGTATATGCAGAAAGGATCTGTACCCTGTTCTCTTTTTGGAAACGAGCCCTTTGGATGGGCGTGATGCCGGATCTCGCCCATCCATTCTTGCTTCCGCAGGACATCGGGGGGGTTTATGCCAGATTCGTCGATAAAAATACAATGGCGTGGTTTTACACCGGCCTGCTTAAGCAGATACCAATAGAAGTGCTTGAGTTCGGGCAGTTGTTGCAGAGCTACGTGTCGCATCGCTTTCCAAGTAATCTGGCCATTCTTCAGCGCGCGTGAGATTGCAGTGACGGAAACATCAACTCCAAATTTCCGAAACAGAAATTTTGCCATCTCCTCGCGCGTCTTGCTCTGATCATTCGCGAGGTAGATATAGAGTGAATCCTGCATCAAAGGTGTAATCTTCGGGTCGGGGCCAGTGCGCTTTGCTGGAACGACGGCAGTTCCATACCGGGCATGCGTCTTGCGAATTCTACGGATAGCTCGTTCGGTAACGACTCGTTCGGGGCTGGATACATCTTTGGCTATTTTCTGATTAGAATCGCCTCCGCGAATTTTCGCCAGAATCAGCTGATGCATGTGTTTGTCGAGACGAGGGGCCATGACTGACGGCAAATATTTGAAGAGGGTGAAAAAGGCCACGGATACGACCTGCACTGGACAGAAACTGGTGGGGAAGTCTAGGCAGCCACATCTGGTGGCCTTAGGCAAGAATGAGCTAGTCTTCGATTGCTGTCAGTGGGGTGCTCCTGCCCCACATGACCAAATTTGGATTTTTTTTTAGTCTTGAGTGTGGACGCTAAACCTGTTCCTGACTGGAGACCAGGCGAGCTTGTACATAACAGTGAGAATGAGCTACAGAGAAAGGCGTTTTAAGTGTCACTCTTTTGCCAGTTAACTTTTAAAGAAATGGTGGATCCTGATCTAGCCGCTAGAGTTATCTGGTACCCTGTACCATTTTTTTCCTTCGGCAAAGAATGAGACTACAGGGGCAGAAACTGATTAAGTGCCGTATTTCTAGGCAGAAAAAAGCTCATGATAGGAAGGAGATTTCTACTCCATCGCCGAAAGGTAATTTTGTCGTAATAGAGCAACAATTGGTGCGGTGCATATATGGCAAACTAACACTAACAGCTGAGTTTAATTGCACATTTACCCCACGAAAGAGTTTCGGGTACCTGGTGGATATCCGGCGGCGCTACGTCACAGGTTAAAATGGCGGCCACTATTATTCTTGTTAGCTAAAAGTGTGACATTTGTTTCGCCCTTCTCTGTACTGTAGCTGTGTTTAACAAGCGAAGCCGATTTTCTTCTAGTCTTCTTTTTTCTTCTCTTTGGTATATTTAAGATGATGAGCTATTTCTAGCTGCCACCGTCTAAACATTTTTATCGGAACACCCTAACTCCTATCACTCGTCAGGAAGCAGTCGTCCATGTCAGACTGCAGAGCTGCAAGTGGACTGACTACCTGACTCCACTCACAACTTCCTAAAAAACCTCCCAAGCCCAGAGTAAATAATAGGTGAAGATAGGTCCATCTTGATCAGCTCCATGAACGGCTCATCAAAGCCGGAAATGGTCAGTGAGTATCACAGCTTCGGCAATAATCTGGCGATAGGCTTGAAATGGCTACATTTCGTTGAGTTGTTCTTGGACTCTCGTGGAAGCTCTGCGAGCTGTCGTTTTTTTACCCTGAAGCAGGGTTTCGCAGATGATCGTGCCAGTACGTAGTGCTCCAAACATGGTCGCAATACCAAGGGCAGAAGAATACGAATGCAGCAACTAGAAATGGCTTCACGCATCCTAAACTCCCAATATACCACGTGCTCGGTCGGCGAGAATTGAACAGCTTGAATTGGTGCATCCAAGCTCAGCTTCAGTCAACGGTTTAGACTGTCACGGATAGTTGTGGTAGCCTGCCAGCATTTAGCTGCTCGGCGCGGGTGACTTCTCTAAAAGTCCAAAACAGCCTACGAAAGTCATTTTGTCCGTAATTCAGCTAATGGGCGGGCAGCCTCTGTTGAATCTGCGATTTGCGCGGGTTGTGGCGGATTTTCCACCAAGACACTGCGCTCTCCGTTCAAAGTGATTATCCCAAGGTATTTCTAAGTGTCACCATCCCCAGGGCACAACACAGCTCCAGGCCACATCTGCATTTTAGTGTTTAAAGATCATATGATGGACCTAGTTACTCTGCCCAAGAGGCGTGATAGGACAAGGGACAATCTAGTGAGAGCTGTCCTTCGCACGCTTCGAAGGTGTGACCAACTCAGCCGCCGGTACAGCGCCGATGTCTACATACTCGTTCGGTGGAAGAATAAGCACTATGAGTATTGCTCTACGGGTGAAGCAGCATTTCCGATCCCTCTAATGGACTTAGTAAGTGGAGTAAAACAATTGGGCCACTATGGGAAACTAAAAAGCTTGAAGGACAAGGTCTATCCCCCTGTGCTGAGGAGGACGCCGGGAGACTTTCGGGATGTTCATCTAAAACATGCAAATTGCTGAAAAACGATATTAATAAAGCTTTGGGTACTGTGCAGTATATGTGACGAATTTCAGCTATTCTATTATATCTTTTTCTTTCGAAAACCATGGACGGCCGTTTTCACAGTAATCCGCGAGAAGATTCGGCTAGGATGTAGCGGATCGAAACGATAGTACTGTACGTACCAAACCAAATTCGTTATAGGTGTCGCTTGCATTTAGTCAATTTTAGTTACTTGGCGGCGTAAATCAGAGTCGCTATTTTTGGATCTCTAGGCAGCAGCCAAAATAGCATCCACTAAAGTTATTGTGCCAGAAACCCGCGAACACCCTCAACGATCCTTACTAACTCGCCAGCATCGGCTACATGAGGGAGGTGAACGGGCGGATGAGGCAGCTTTTCCGGTCCGACCCTTGGACTTAGTTGCACTCAGATTTGAAATTCAACCGCTAGCTAACTCTTTGGAGGACAAAGTCCCCCCCCCCCCCCCGCAGTACGCCGCTGGATTTTCGAGATGCGACCTGAAATTTACAAGCGCAATGACTGGGAGCAGGTCAACACGCAAGGCCTCAATTCTATCACTGTACGAGTTTTCTCGCACACTTAACTATGTAGCTACCATTGACATAAATACCGAAAATATCAGAAGTGCGATTGTTCTCGGCTTTGTTTACCGATGACGCAGTGGCACTGCACACTGGCCAACAACACTAATTGCGCAGATGCGCCTAGCAACCCCACCTCAAGAAAAACCAACAAGCACTTGACCACGAGATCAAATGCAATGGAACTATGCTAGATGCGAGGTCACGCAGTTCAAGCAAAACCCCATACCTCTGCATGACATGTCATATCTGCGCATCACTCTCTTCAGAAAGCATCCGAATGCCCTACTGGCGCGGTAACAGATTTGGTGAAACCTTGCCTTGCGCATGCAGACCTGTGATGCAGAAGATATTGCGCTTCTTGGCCAGCGACACGGACAAATTTCTCGAAAGGGCGAATAGCGCAAAGCGCCCGAACCGCAACTCTCCACATGCAAGGCGACTTCGTGCCACCATCGTTCAACTCCCATTCGAGAGACACATTTGCATTACTCCCCGGAGCCACCACTTTGATCTGGTTCATGACCCCGCTTACCTGAGAATAATCTAGCCACAGCTTTTCTGTCGGCCCACGAATGCCATGTGCATCGTCAAAGTCTTCCGAGTACCGAAGATATCCTGTGTAGACGCCGAGAAAGTCGCCCTTTTTTATAGTCATGATGGAGCACACAGAAAGAAAATTCTCGTCCTGAGGAACCAAAATAACATATATAGACTTGTTTCTGCCCGTACCTACCCCGGTGCAAAGATCGGGGATCCCCACCATGTCGTCGCTCAATGCCGACAGGGTTGACGTCGAATGAAAGGCGGCTTTTTCTTCAGCCGAGCACCAGCTACTTATGAAACCACCCCATGCCCTTTCCGGCATGTTGTTGAGTCTCTCTGCCACGTGATTCTTCGTTAGCCATTGATGTTCCGTAGAGTTCCCCTTGGCTTCTTCTACCGCTCGGGTCTCTAGATCCGCTATGTGCGGTCCATAAACCTTCTCCCATGAGAAAACCCTGTCGACCAGCGGGACGGTGTCGTGTTTGGGATTTTGTTCGCATATGTGGTCGAATTCTCGAGTGCGGTAGAGAATGAGCTTATTGACGCCAGCTTTTCGCATATCGGAAAGACTTTTCCAAACGCGACGGCGTAGGCGCTGATTCTCAGAGCTCGTTCCGATGCCAGCTTGGTCCATGAATATCTTGCTCGCACGCTTTTCCAGCTGAGTGAACTCGTCACTGGGTCCTCCACGATTCTTCAAGGTCGACGAATCCAGATACTTTGCCTTCTTTACTATTATGTCCCAGTAAAAGGTTTCGTTGTATCGGACCTGCAGATCTTGGCTGGCCGCCAGTGCTCTGCTCTTCTTAACCGCGTATACGGCCTGATCGTACTCGAGATCAACCATGTTACTCGCGTAACGTCGAATGTTTTCCACTATGGTCGTCACTGTTGTTTCCCCAGATTTGTATTTCGCAAACTTGAAATTGACTTCAACGCAGTGCCGGAGTATCGTTTCCACAGCTCCGAGCGCCGCCGCGGAGCCAAAAAAATCCAGTACGGACGAAGTAACAGCGAAGGCATCAACAGAGTCAGCTGCACTAGGAGGCTGAGTGGTAATACTGACAGCTGCATTGCTGCTGCCCAAACTTTCCAATGGAATACTTCCCTCCATGACTGGTAGTTTTGCTGAGATAGCTTGGTCTGGCCCGGCCGTCTCCACAGCGACGGCTGTTGCGAGCACCGTGCCTCTTCGTAGCTTATCATCTGCTAATACATTTGCGCCTGTTGGGTCATTCGTATTTCTGCCGGCGACAGACGGCTTACTCTGCGCCACTCTGCGCCTGTTTTTCGCTGGCCGACGATCTAATCCTGCGTAGTCGACCTGGCATCGCTTTGCAGCTCTGGTAAGCACTCGAGTAACACACGCAGGAGGCTCCTTCCCCCCGGCGCGGTGCATTGAATCCCGCACTGAGTTCTTAGCATTTGACACTGTGAATCGAACAGCAGACTTACCAAATTTGGAGATACCATTAACATGCTGTAGGGGAAGCTCCGTGTTTTGACTTCGTATCCCGACCAGAGCCAGCAACTCGCGAATCTTCCGTTCTGTCAGCGCACGTATTGCTTCATCCATGGTTAGTGGTGCGGGCTGAAAGCAGGACAGCGTTGGCTGTTCTATTAATACGCCTCTCCCCGGCGTCAGTGCCTTCTAGCACCATCCATACTTTCGCTCCATGACTCCACTACAAGGCCCACCATCGTTACCTCTTTACAAGAGTTACTCAACATAGCAAACCATTACCAAAGATGTTATCAGAGATCACGATACGCAGGTGAGTATTATTAGCTTGTTCAAAGCTACTCGACTATGGTTCCTGTCACTACTCTCGGTCATTGAAAAAGGGTAGGCCAGCTCTGTTCACGGCCAACACTTCATCTCCAGATCAGGGCTTCGCACGGCGCCACCGATGTCATCGGTGAATCGTTACTGCACTCCGCCACTGCGCCTGCGTCGACCGCGTCGAGCGTCCTGCAGGTGACATTTTATTGTTCGCAGGGTTGTCTAGCATATTCGTCGCGCCTGCCTGGACCACAATACAGAGCACTCCAGTATCCACTGGAAGACCCACTATGGCCAGCCAGGTAAGAATTGCCAACGCCTTTCTTGTTTGCTTTTGACTGATCGAGAACTGCGTGAATTTCGATCTCCAAAGTTACAGATAAACTTGATAACTATGTATCAATACTCCGCTTGCTTCTATAGTGTTATTATTAGGTAGCAGCGCAGAAGAATTCGCAGTAACAGAGATAACTGCCCTGGAAAACCATGGCTTTACACTGATGGCCGCATTGCTGATGCCTGGGCTCATCGGACTAATTCTCCCCATTCTTGGTGATTAGGCTATTGCTCTGGACCAGCAGTCTCCACAGCGACGACTGTTGCGCCAATCGTATCTAATCGCAAACTTGAAATAAGGCACCACTATAGATCTACGTAACTTGACGGCTCTATGGGTTTGTCACGATCGCCGGCCAAAGCAACACAGGCAAAGTGGGACCAAAAAAGCCGTTGAACGCCGACGGAGGTAAGAATGACACAAACAGGATAGCAGCAGCCACACTGGTCGCCGGACCAGCGCGTGCTAACCGCCACCCACGCCATTGCTGTCCTGTGCCTGCACCCAGTCTTGTTTTTGGGCTGTGGCTGAACTAATGCAATCCTTGCAAGGGCTATATCATTGAGGCACCGACCGCGGACGTGACAGAAACATTCAGCATATGCGTCGCACCTGGACCAAAATCCCTCATATTTAATAAAGGTTCTCGAGAACTGCCTACGCAGATGGAATAATGCGCTAAGTTCCAGCCTTGTGCTGTGCTGTTTGCCAATTGCCCACTTTACAGGGTTGTTTGCGCTTGTCTTGTCACATTACGCTGATTGGCGTGCCTGAGCATTCCAGTATCCATTGGGAGACCCACCTGGACGAGGGCTCTGCATCCCCGGTGTCCCCGACATCTCTCAGCGCCGCCTGTGGCCAGGCATTCAAAGTGAGAGATCAACATGGCCCGCCACTAACTGCTGGGCACACTTGTCCAAACATTTTTAATGTAGCAATCGCCATCTTAAGTATTGTTTGGTGCATAATCAGATTCATCCCCTCACTTACACTGTAGAAGAAAAAAAGGTAGGCCCACTAGCCTGTATGCTAACTTAGAACTGGCTCTTCCTACGGCGGCAAGGTCGCTCTCGAATATCCGATCCTCGAGAAGAGAGTGAAGAATGGCGACCAGCTGGTCTTCTGAGTATAGCCAGACGGAAAGCCGGTTTCTTTGGACGAGACCACGAACGAGTTTCGCCTTTCGAAGCGCGGCGTTGCGCGGCTGCCAAAAGAGAGCCCTACACTTAGTGTTGCAGCACACTGTTTTTCGGTCGTTTCTAGACGGTTCAAAAGGTCGAGCCATTTACAGACGCCAGGTAATGGATTCGCACTGGCAGATGAGATGGCAGGCTGAGCGAGAAGAAACACCGCTAGAACATCCAAGATGCCTCTCCTCACCTGAATTCGTTCCCTGTCGCGGGGATGCGCCACCCACTTGTTCCCTTGAGGCAAATGAGCAGACTTGCAGACCAGCCATCCGTTTCAATCCAGCTGGGGCTTACTGTTGTCATCCAAACTTGGCGTTTATGTGACGAGGATGCTTGAAAGAAAGCCTAGCATGTCTATTTTCGCCTATTCAATACACCATGCTTTCGGGTCCTGTCGCGACTCGCATGGGCCAGGCTAGGCAGGACGAAGGGAGCAACCAAACCCATTCTCCATCGTGGGGCATACTGGAGCAGGGTCATCACTCCCCTAACAATACTGTGGCTGTAATATGTGGTGTCTCGTGAGGTCCAGATAGTTGATTTTCGACGGCTTTGACGCGTCATTGACGGAGAATAATGCTGTTCTTGAATATGTATTCTGTGTTGGTGTTGGCGGCGTTCGTACCCGTCGCTCCGATTACGCGTCCCCATCGCGTCTTTCACAATCGTACGATGCCGTAAACTCTTGTCGGGCAAGAAAACGAGTCGCCAAGCTCATTTTCCATCGAATGGCGTACGCGATCAGGGTCGACACTCCCACTGTGGCTGTATTGTTTTGTGTTTCGTGAGGTTCGCACAGTCGGACATTGGCATGTTGATGCGTCGTTGAACGGCGGGTTCCTGTAAAAGACAACCAAGCAGTCTCTTTAAAGGTTCTCGAAGATTTTCCGCTTGAATTGTCGCTGGAATCAGCTCTGCAATGGAATATGAACTCTCCAAAGGTCTTCTCCTGTGCTGGTAGGGCTGCGATAGTGGTCCATAGTAAAGGTGTAGCATTGTCACCTGTAAACGCGTCGCCCGACTAACAGGTGCTAACAGCACCAAGTGTGGTAAATTGCTTACAGGGGAGAGTTTTTCTTTTTTTGATCGGTCAATTACATAATTCGCCTGACGGAGAATGCGTCTACGCTTCGTAGCAGAAGCGATTATATCACGTCTATGACTGCGAGACAAAAAAAAAAAGTGCGGTTTCACTTTGAATTTCAACACGCAGTAGGCGGACTACATTTCAGGCTAACTAACGAGTTGTTTTTCGGTGGCTGGAGTAGGATCGCGCAATCAAAGTCAATCACCATGACGCAGCCTCGCTCCGCGTTCCAGAGACAGTTAGCCGCGCGTTCGTCCCCATGGCCGACGCCGTTCTGACAGAGCGTATGCAGCGATCGCTCTATTTCGGACTGCAGACTGGACGTGGTCGCGTCCGTCGCCATCTCGCCCGCCCACGACATGAGCATCATGTGCACCACGTACGCACCGCCTGGCAAGATGTAGCCGGGATGGAACGAGATCAGGCCCATGTGCACCGGCACCAGCTCACCCTGCAGTTTGTCCAGGCGCTGGTAGACGCGGCTCTCGTACTCCAAGCGCCGCGGACGCGCCGACACGCTGCCCTTGCCGACAAAGGTGTAGCCAAACTGGACCAGCTCGAGTTTGAACAGCACCCCACTTGCGCCGGCCTTGCCCTGGCCGAGGAGGGCTTCGCAGCCCTGGTACGGGTCCTGTTGCAGCTGCTCGGTCACCAGGTCGGCAAACTCGTGGGCGGTGATTGGGTGCTGTCCGTCACCGCGGACACCATGGGAGAGTACATTGGGGCAGCTGCTATCCAAGGGACGAGCCAGCTTCAGGCCAGCGAGGCAGGCCTGTGTGCAGTATGGTCTCGTGAGCGCCAAACCAGAGCCGCCGGGGCCGTCACCACTGCCCTTGCTGATGGAGTCTGTCTCTCGCCTGTTGAGGCTGGTGCTCGCCGCGCTTCGACATTGCTGATCCTCTACTCTGCCGTCCTTGCCATCGCATGCCCCATCCGTGCCCCGTGGGAACGGAGCCAACGACGAATCTGTGACCTCGAGCTCTGGACCAGTCAGCGGGTCCACGTACTCTTCCGTCTTCCATTTCTTTAGAACCGGCGCCGCCTGATCCACAGCCTCCTGAAACAGACGGCCCGTAAGCGCCGGAGAGCTGAGGCTCAGGAGACAAAAGCTGGCCAGCTCAGCGACAGCAGTGTGGGAAACCTGATCGTGATCGACCTGGACGCGGGATGTTGCTCGGGTCACCGCCTTGTCTGGTACGCAAAGATGCCAGCGCAACACCAGTGGTTCTGCTCGGTCATAGAAGAGAAAGACATAACACTTGCTAGTGGCGATGTAGCCATAGCTGACGCCGTACCAAAACATATAATTAAAAACTTGTATGAGTGCTGTGGCAACACGCGCTTCTTGAGCCTCTTGCGTTTTCGAGTCCGGTATGCCCTGCTCGGCATAGGCCAACTTGTAGACATCTGCGAATAGCGTTCCTTGGCGAGAGCCGCCTCAAGACAGTCCACGGCAATCTTGTGCGGAGCCTGCAGATCATATACAAAGGCCACGCTTTTGTTGCCGTCCAAGTCTGTTCGGATGCCACCCCCGTCAGGTTGCTGCTTTCCCCTGCCAGTCTCGACCTGCCATTCAACACCTTGGTCGAGTTTGTGGTTGAAGTCATCATCGAGGTCGTGAAAGTTGCGAATACCACTGCTGACTGATAGATCCGTAGCTTGGTACTTTCGGCGCATCCCCTCATCAGCCCACAGTGGGTCCAGAATATTCTGCGCAGGGCATTCGACAGCGACAAACTCAAAATAGCGAATCTCGCTTTTACAATCAGCTTTGCTGCGCGTGAAGCGTTCTCCAACATCTCTTGTTGTGCTTTCTTGGTGGAAAAGCCGCCTCTCGCCATTGATGCGCATCACGTCGTTGAAATGTTCCTGTCGCTGGCCGTCGGTAAAGGCTCGCCAGGGCCGAAGCCACTTGGGATAGTATTTGCCGTCGACCGAGGGAGCGAGGCCAGTAAAGCAGTGCGACGAGCTAGCAAGCCCAAGTTTCTGGTATATGTCGAAGTGGCAATTGTACAAATACTCGCCCAAAGTCGCCCGTTGGTTCATGCGTCGCTCTTCCTCGCGACACTCTATTTCCTCCGTTTTGGGTCGACTTTCTTGGCGCCGCGACTCTGATTCTCTTATCAAACGTTCGAGACGTTTATTTTCATCCGTTTCTTTCGCCATTGTATTCGTAGCGATGGTGTTGGCTGACCAGAAAAATACGTATGCTCCTGGCTCTCAGTGGAACTATTCAAGGATGCGTAGAGGCTACGTGTATTGTTGCTACGGGCACCACATCCTACACGTGCCACGCACACACCGCCCACTAGTGGGTACTGTTTATCAACACAACAACTCCGACACGCGGTAACTTTACCAAAAATGACTCTTTCAGCCCAAGAAAAAGAAGACTGCCCAAGAAAAAGAGGACTGCCCAATATAGTGTTTATATTTTATAGATTAAAATCCTACTTTCCCAGTTGCAAAAGCGGCGCGGCAACTTGGCCTTTCGCGTGGTATTGTGCGGGCCGCCTCGCTGGCACTGACGCGAAGCGGCCACGACATTCGCACATAGCCAAGTTAAAAGAGGCAGAAGAGAAAAGCCTTTTAGGTATGATTTATCGCGTTGATAATCTAAATCTTTCTATTCCATAAAAACGGATTACAGACGCGGCTAAGTCTATTAAAGAGAAAACTTCTACGCAAAATCCCACACCAAGCTACTTTAAACCACGCTGGGTCGACAATTCGTCAAACGCTACCACTTAAAGGTGCAAAAGAGTCAAATTCGAGCCCTAGAGGGGCAAGACGCTGAAAATTATGATTCGATCGAAAATATTTTAACAACCTTCAAAAAGAGAGGACTTACCCCTGACTGCATCTGGAACATGGACGAAACAGGCTTCCGAATTGATACCGCTGAGGGTGGTTCTTTTGTAACCTAAAGGAAGGAAAATACTTCATGTAGAGGTTTGCCTAATAATCGAGAATTGGTAACCTCTATTGAGGCAATATCAGCTAATGGGGATTTTATCAGACCACCGTTCCTTATGTAGCTGGTCAGCTACATTTAGGCCAGCGGTATAGCTGGGCATCCATCGATCACAACTCCGCTGAATCACATATACGAGCGAGACTGGCAGAAGTTCGATTTTCCTGGCCAATGTGAGCCAAGGTTGTCTCCACGATGAGGGGGATCCGTACGCTGAAGAGACCTATTCAGACTTGGTTGGAGTCAGACAAGGGAAAAGCACTCGACTTGCGCCGCGAAACGCACTAGCGATACCCATAACGGTTCTGGTTGGTACCAGCGCCCGGGTATGTAGACTTCGGTCTCTTCATGCGCCGGCTTTCACTGTTACTGAGGTCAAGTCACTGGCGCCTGCTCCTCGAGTCTTGCTTTGTTGCAGCCAAAGGTTGCATTCGCCGTATCGCCCACGTCGCATACCCGCTTGCAGAATTGGCGTGCCAATTCTAGGTTGGGTTCAAACGCTTGCTCATTTCATTTTAACGCCCCGGTGGAGGCTACGCGTGATCCGTTTTGTTGCGCCAGCAACGCTCAACGCGTTACTTCATATTTACGCAGTTTTTCGTCGGTTAAAAAAAAATAGTAGGACACGAGACTCGCTGCAATGAGTGGTAGTATGGAAGCCTTCCACAGCGGCTTGAAAGCGAGCTTCGTACCGGAGCAGTACATCGGTACAATCACCGCCCTTGGTACTTACGTCGACAAACAGCTGACTTAAAGAAACGTGCAGTTTCAAGGCTCAACGTGCTGGGCAATGGAGACTCCATTCGTCAGGTACCCCATCAACTCCTTTAAGAGCTCCAAAGAGAAGCTCCACGTCTTTCTACAAGTCATGGACAACTGGGTAAGGTTGCATATGCCCCCTTACCCAGCCCTTATGGTCGAAGGCCTCAGCGAGGCGGCAGTACGAACACAGCGTGATCTGTCATTCGAGTTCTGGGGCCAGCCAGCCAGCGCGTCTGTCAATGGTGTCAATGACACTCATGACTTTGATGCATCCGATACCGTGCCAGCAAGGATAGAATTCTGAAACCGGGGAAGCCGTGCCACTCCTGGCTGGCCCTTCGCTTTCTCTTCCTCGTCAACGTAGTCGTCGTCATTTCCGTAGTTCGTTGGATTCTTTTCTCCCGCTCTTTGCGTGTTTCCGATGCACCTAGTCTCTCTGTCGAGCTTTTGCTGTTTTAATAAAATTGACTGCTTTTTTCATTTTTATGTTCTAATCCTATGGCATCGTCAAGGGTGTCATTAGTCAGTGAGCTCAGCAACTGCTACGGGAAAAGCATTTGTTCCAGAGAAGGCGTTTCAAGTGTCACTCTTTTGCTAGTTAACTTTTAAAGAACTGGTGGATCTCGATCTGGCCGCTAGAGGTATCTGGTACCCTGTACCATTTTTTTTCCTCAGGCAAGATTGAGACTACATGGGCAGAAGCTGATCAAATGCCATATTTCTAGGCAGGAAAAAAGCTCAGGATGGTAAGGGGATTTCTACCCCATCGCCGAAAGGTAATTTTGTCGTAACAGAGCAACAGCCGGTGCATACATATATGGCAAACCAACGGCTGAGTTTAATCGCACATTTACCCCATGAAAGAGTTTCGGGTACCTGGTGGATATCCGGTGGCGCTACATCCCAGGCTAAAATGGCTGCCACTATTATTCTTGTTGACTAAAAGTGTGACATTTGTTTCGCCCTTCTCTGTATCGCATTCCTAGAATGGTTCTCTATGGCGTATGCCGTCAGCATATGCCGTCAGCATTTGCCGAAATGCCCAGCATCGTGAACTTTTTAACTAGGCAGAATACTTTGGCCCAGAAACTGGCCAAGGCCCCATAATTTGACTGGCAGCCCGAAAGCTAATTCGTCCATTTGACCGACCGTGTCGGCCAAATCACCACTAGCTAATGGCCCCTCAATCTGTTGCAAGCAGCAACGTATTCCTGTCAACGCAGCTGAAGAAAAATGTATCTTCCGCGGAAGGCCGAGTTCTGATTATGATAAATGACCATGTCAATCGCATCAACCCGGAAATTTCGAGCCTGACGTGTGGACAAAATGATTGAGTTTGCGCCGGCACGTCGAGAAATGCTTTTAGGACTGTTCCGTGAAATATAGCCCGACTAAAATAACTTCATTTCTTAGTGCGCACAAAGCACGAGACGCAGTGGAAAACATCATCCCATGGACCGGAAAAGGGGGCGACGAATTCATTCCCATAGTAGAAAGGCTAACGCAGTTCACGGGCGAGCAGGCCAGACAGGCGAGTCCGCCAAAATTTTTGCAGAATCAAAGTATACAATGGCCGCGATGGTTGAGCCCACGATATGGCGAAATGTTGTAGCCCAGTGCCTAACCGGTGATTCAGCCTCGACATCTCGACAAGGTATGTCCTTGCCCACTCCGGAGTTCGCTAGGTCGCGGACCACTAGCCCATCGTGCGACTCCTCGCTCTGGGATGCTGCGACTCCATAGACACGCTGTACTTCTATAACGGCAAATAACGAATGCGCGAAAAAGGCGTCAGCATCTGAGATACCGCGGCGCGTCGACGGCCGACTGCTCCAATCGAGCTCTTGCAAGGAGATGACGCTTTTAAGGAAGCGAGAGACTTGGATGTCGATTTATTTGGCCCAGATACGTGGCACGAGGAGGCACGAAAGCTAGGGTTGTATGTAAAGCATGGGCAAGATTAAAAAGTACATAGTTGTATTGGTGGTTTATAATTGACTGCCTTCTCACAGCGTACCGGCCGGGCTCGGAAGAATTTCTCTTAGCCAACATAACAACTTCTTCATCGCATGAGATCCTTCCCCGGCGTAAACGTGTCTAAGCCCTATGTTACAGATTATACGGATGGTATGGAACACCTCAGCACACCCGGCACACCCCGCTTCGTGCTGTTATGGTTGAACTCATCCCCCTTTCGTTTCCTTCCCGCCTTGGAAAGTTTAGACAATCGTTTGTGCTTGGGTGGTGGTAGGAAGGTTGCCTGATCGAAATCGATCACCATCACGCGGCATCGCTCAGCGTTCCAGAGCAGGTTGGGCTCTCGTTCGTCTTGGTGGTTCACGCCATGCTCATAGATCGTTTGTATGGATCGCTGCACCTCCCGTTCCAGATTTGACCGCGTCGTATCCATCGCCACCCCAGCCCATGACATCAACATCATATGGATCACGTACGCACCGCCAGGCAAGAGGTAGCCAGGACGGAGCGAGACCATGCCCAGGTGCACAGGCACCACGTCGCCCTGAAGCTTTTCAAGTCGCTGATAGATACTGCACTCGTGCTCCAGGCGCGTCGGATGTGCGGACACGGTGCCCTTGCCGACAAAAGTGTAGCCGAAGCGTGCCAGTTCTAACTTGAACAGCACTCCACTAGAACCATATTTGCGCCGGCCGATGAGGGCATCACAGCTCCCGTACGGGTCCTGACGCAGCTGCTCGCTCATGAGTTTAGTCAACTCCTGAGCGTCGATCGGGTGGCGTGCGTTGCCGCCAACACCGTGATAGAGCACATTAGGGCAGCTGCTGTCTAGTTCACGACCCAGCTTGAGGCCCAGAAGGCAGGCTTGTGTGCAGTATTGTTTCGTGGGCGCTGGAGCAGAGCTTTCGGTGCCTTTGTCTTTGCTCTTCGTACTGTCCTTCTCTCCCTTGTTGACGCTGGCTCCTGCCCCGCGCTGGCGTTGATAACCCTCTGCTCCGCCTTCTTCGTCCTCATCGCGCGACTCGAGAGGCGCCGTAGAATCCTTGCACGATGACTTCCGCAAAGGATATTTTCGAGTCACCGGGGATGCATCACAAGCAAAGGATTTATCTGTGCCGCGCGAGGGCACAGATGAAGATGAATCAGTGTCGTCTGACTCCTGCGGAGTAACCGGGTCCGTGTATGCTTCCCTTTTCCATTTTTTCAGAATGCCCTCCGTCTGGTTCATTGCCTCCTGGAGCGGACGGCCCGTAAGCGCCTGAGAGCGGAGGCTCAGCAGACAAAAGCTGGCAAGCTGTGCCACTGCAGTCTGAGACACTTGTTCGACATGAAGCTCAGCTGCTGGTCGAATCACCATTTTGTCTGCTACGCAAAGGTGCCAGCGCAAGACAAGTGGCTCTGCTTGGTTGTAATAAAGAAGCACCAAGGATTTCCCAGCGGCGACATAGCCATACCCGACTCCATACCACAGCATATAATTGAAGACTTGTATTAGTGCCATGGCAATCTGCGCTGCTTCTCGCTCTTTCTTTCGAAGCGTCGAGTCTGTTTTGTATTGGTCGGTCCGCGCCCACTCGTAGACATCCATGAACAGCGTCTCGTTCTCGAGAGCGGCCTCGAGATCCTCTACGGCAAACTTGTGCGCAGCCTTGTAATCATACATGAAAGCTGGGCTCTCGTTCCCGTCTATGCCTGTTCGGATGCCACCTCCGTCAGGTTGCTGCTTTGCCCTCCCTGTTTGGATCTCAGCCGCAAGATCTTCGGTGAGGTCATTGAAGTTGCGGATGCCATTCATAAATGTTAAATCTGTGATCTGGTACGTCTGACACAGCTCTTTGTCAGCCCAAACGGGCGCCAGAATCATCCACGTCGGGTCTTCGACTGCTGTTTTTTCGAAGTGGTCGATAGCATTCTCATAGCCAGCCTTTTTCCGCTCGAAGTTGATTCCGTTATCTCTTGTTGTGCTCGCTTGCTGAAAAAGTCGCCTCCCACCGCAGACGCGTATGATATCGTTAAGGTGTTCTTGTCGTTGGTTGTCGGTAAAGGCATGCCAAGGGCGAAGCCACCTAGGATAGTATTTGCCGTCGACAGATGTTGCGAAGCCAGTAGAGCTCTCCGACGGGCCAGCAAGCCTGAGTTTTTGGTACAGGTCGAAGTGACAGTTGTGCAAGTACTCCGCTAGAGTCGTCTTTCGGTTTTTGCGCCGCTCTTTTTCCTTTTCGCGCCGCTCTTTTTCCTTTTCGCGCCGCTCGTTCTCCTCACGCGCCTTTGCTTCTTCCTTTTCGCGTCGCTCGTTCTCTTCTCGCTCACGCGCCTTTGCTTCTCCTTTTCGCGTCGCTCGTTCTCTTCTCGTGCCTTTGCTTGCTGCAGCTGCCTTTCGAGCTCCTGAATTCTTCTTTCAGACATCGTGATTTTTAGTATGGGCAAGATCAGAGGACCGCTGGATAAATGGATGAAGTGATTGATGGATGACGTTGATTAGGCAAAGTTGCAGGCCTAATTTTAGAGGCCATTTGGGTTCTCCACTGGAACGGTAAGTTGCCAAGGCGTGTCCACTACTGTTTGTTGTAGCCTGTGATGTAAAACCTAGTCACATGCCCGATTACGGGCACCCGTTTACTATGGTACTGAGCTCCTTCGCTGGCTATTCAAGCACTGGGCTGCCTAAGCACTGAACTGCTTCAGCCAAATGGTTTAAGCTAAGCTGCCTCTGTATAACCTTGCCTGCGACCTAGATTGCTGCTTGCTTGTGGTACATTGTTCTGGAGCCAGTTTGGAGCGCCGAGTGCTCCTGCCGGGACAATGGAGACCAGTTTTCGGCACACGCCATTCGGCTTCAGCGCATTTAGGTCAGAGGCAGCAGATGCAAGCACACTAGGTCTTCACTTCACTGCAGGGAACAAGCTAGCTCTCTTTCAGTGGTCTCCAAAATCTAGCTAACTAGTTCAGGGCATTTGGACTCGAACCATACCGGGCAAGATTGTATCTGGTTACAGGGTCCAAGGTAATTTCGGTCCAAATTTTTGTACTAGTCAATTCAGGCAGGATGAGGGAGCTACCATCCATCGTAGGCTCCGAGCAGCCAAGGTTGGGCGAAGAAAATGATTAAACGCAGATAATCTCCCGATGCTGTACTCGTTACTATGGCCATGTATTTATATTTGCAAGATGCAGCCTTGATTTTTTTTAAGAGGACGACTGTTTCTGCCTGGAGACTTCTCAATAGACATCGTCATTCCCGCCCCTATAACCAGGTCATGGATGGCTAGCGGCGATGCCAGGCCGCTCGCTGCCCCTCCCCTCCCCTGACCACATGCCCGCGGCCAG